GCGTAACCACTTCATAGAAAAAATTAAAATCATATTTTTGGTGGAATAAATTATCAAATTTTTCTTTGTGGTTGTGTTCTTTCTGTTTGTACTAATTAAAAACTCAGAAAAAAAGTTACACCGTATGCGGCGTTTGACCCTAGAAGAGCCTGCTAAGGCAGCCAGTATGCTATCTGCAGGGGGTTCCTTTGAAGAAATTTGTGAAAAATTAGAACAATTCAAAGATTATGCATTTCTCTGGTGAAAAATTGTTGAAAATGAATAAACAATCATAAGATATCGACGGCATTAAGTAAGCACCACACAATAACTTCAAGATTGTTCCACAATATTGGGGCAACCGGAAGTTGGGTGGATTTGGTAGGACACCAAGGCATTGGATGACTACTAAGCGATATGGTAGTCAATCAGGATATATCATTTGATTTTTAAGTGGGAGACTGCTCCCGTCGCAACGTCACAGACCACCATCGGTAATCACCAACTTCATATCTTGGCAAAAACGGTGCGCAGTGCACGTCGGGGCATTGGTTTTCGGACAAAAAGGTCCTTTAAGGGTCTTGACATGACACCAAGACATTTTTTGGAAAAGATGGCATATTTTACATACTAGTGCCAATCAGGAAAATGATCAATTCACGAATAAGAGTAATAAGTGGCGCGTTAGCAATTTATCTAGTGTATATGGAAGCATCCTCAGGTAGTGAAGATTCAAGTTTATTCACTTGGGGAAATCATTAAAAAATCTTATTCTCAAGAACAGCAAAAACATAATTGGTCATAATAAAATAAAAGCATCCTCAGGTAATGCAGATTTAAATTCGTTCAAATCATGATCCCAACAGAGAGGGGATCATAGTTAAACAAAGGGTTATGAAAGATATATCAATAAAAATTTCTTCTTTAGAAAATAAAGCCATTATTAGTCATATTAGTTCAAAAGCATCTTTAGGTGGTGTAGATTCAAGTTTTTTTTCAAATCATACCCCCCCCCCCTTTAATAATTAAACTTTTGAATACCGAACTGATTTCTCCGATTTCCGAACCAAAGTGCTCAGGTGAGCGATGTGGCCTATGGGCCTCTGGTTTTGGTGGATTTGTGAATGTAATTTGTGTGTAAATCACATTGACGTATTTCGTATGCTATTCATGCAGCGTGATTGTGGCGGTACATTTTGTCGTCATGTTCATATGTCGCCTTCGACAATGTGTACATACACTCACTGAACATATTGTCGTCCATCAGTATATCTCGCATGACAATGCATGGCAATGTTTCCATACAGATATGGCTAATCATTGCTTTGCTGTTGCTGAGAAGAGAAAGTTTAAAGAATTTTCCTATATATTCCTGTGTAAAACTTTGATCGCCCTTTGTGGCCCCAACCTAGGCCCGGGGGTCATGATTAAAAGAAACTTGAATCTACACTACCTGAGGATGCTTCCATATAAACATTGCTAATCACGGGCCTACTGCTGTTCTCAATATTTGATCTAAAAATTTCAGAACGGGGAAAGGGGGGGGGGTTCAGATTTTTTTTGACAAGACAAAAAAAATCGTTTGAGTGCATGTTACTGTATAAGTTAAGTATATTATTTAGTCATGAAATTTTACCTGTGGACAAAATTGAGAGTATATACAGGTTAAAAAAACAGAATTTACAAAAGCAAAGAAAAATGAAAAAAATCAAACGGAGGGGGCAGGGTGGGAGATAGGGATGGGGGGGGGGTGCACCGGTGCTAGATCCGCCTTTGGTTCTTGAGAAGTTTTTAAAAGAGTTTTTGTATACCGTATATTCCAACTGAAAACTTTTATCACCAATTAAGGACCCACCCTACCTATGGAGGTCATGATTTGAACAAAATTGATTTTGTTTTTGTTTGTTTGTTTGTTGTTTTAATATCCCTCTAGAGAATTTTTCACTCATAAGGAAATTTAACATCATCACTTGCCGGAGAAGGGCCAAAAATTTAGACCTATTCTTGGAACTCAGGGCCATTGAAAATTCGTGCCAAAATCTAAAAAATGAAAAGTACACTTCATATATGTACTTTCACATAAGTATAATCTCTTCTGATCCAGAAGTTCCTGAGAAGAAAATTTTGAATGAATTATTCTTAAAACTTTGATCACCCATTGTAGCCCCACCCTTTCCCAGACATGATCTGAATAAAAATGAATCTACACTTTAATTATAATAAAGCTTTCACATAAGTTTCAACTTTTCTCACACAATTGTTCTTGAGAAATTATTTAAAGATGTCACTAAATTTTCACTAATTCTTAACTATACATGTACTTTCTTGAAAGAGGGCATGGCCATTAATTTGAACAGACTTGACTCCCTTTATCCACGTTTGCTTTCTGGTAAGTTTGGTTGAAATTGAAATTGGCCAGTAGTTCATGAAAAGAAGCTGAAAATGTGAAAAGTTTACCGACAGGCAGACGGACGACACAAGAAATATGATCAGAAAAGCACACTAGAGCTATCAGTTCAGGTGAGCTAAAATATGTCAATCCCTACACCAATTATATCGGCACTCTTATGAGAATTAAGCAAAGAAAAAAATGAATTCCAGATAACATTTCTACTGAACAAATAACTTTCAATCTCATATCCATGTATATATAATGAGAAAAAAAGAATAGACTGATTTTTCAGATATCTCAAGAATTACGGTATTTTTGACATATCATAGTCATGTAAACCAATGCTGGACACAATTTTCTGAGCAACACCATTTCTCCCTACAAAATTGCGAGTAATGCATACATACAACTTGTTTGTTTATTTATCCTCCAAACACTTTGTCTATCCTTCTGTCTGTCTAGATCTCTCTCTTTCTCTGTGTATGTGTGTCAATCTCTCTCTCCCCCTCTCTCTCTCCACGACCTTAGTAAATATTCAACACAATATATCGGCGACAAAATGTGCCAATGGTCAGTACATATTGTCGCCGACGACAAAACGTGCCGATTCTTGACTGTACATTTTGTCTTCCATTACGCAGGAGGAAAAAAAGGCTCGTCTCGGTACAAATTGTCGCCGGCGACAATATGTATCGATGGACGACGATATGTGCAGTAAGGGTAGGTACATTTTTTCGCCGACGACAATATGTACAAAACGACAAGATGTACCGTCACAACCCTCTTTTTGATGGCATGATTAACGATACCTAAACCAACATGAGATCGTAGTGTATACAAACCAGTAGCAACAACGGACCGATGACAAAGGACTGAATTTTCGTATCTTGTCATGACAACGGACAAAAATTGAAATAAATCAAAATTTTCAGTTTTGATTTGTTCTCAATTTTTCAGTAAAGGCTTTCAACATGTCTTGACACTGTCTGCACCAATTGGTGTGTATATTATATTCTATTTACGAAAAATATAACATCTCAGTAGGAAAACGAATCAAATCCACAAGTGATTTCAACAGAGTTATATAATGTCGCCAACGCAAACTCTTCTTTAAGTTTTATTACTTGTTTTTAACGGCTGAAATTCATACAGCACCAAATAGGGTGTCAGCCCTGTTTCCCATTGCAATTTCAGACATTGTTATAGATAATTTAACTTGAAAAATGAAAAACTTCTCACAGCCTGTCTTCTGAAGTCATGACACCGGACGGATTTTATCATAACCTCACCTGTACGTTCATGACAACGAACCAGTTTCAGTGCTTAACTTTAAAGGTTTCTGACAACGGTACTGTCTAGGAACTTAACGTGTTCCTGGCCGTGAACTAGTCATTTAAAAAAAAAAAACATCCCAAGCATAAACTCGATCTTGTTTGCCAAATGTCCCAGAGAAAAAAAAAGCCCCCATCCTATGGGCCAATCTGATGATCCAGAGAATATAATCTAATGCGATATGTTCAGTAGTAGAGGATTTTGGAAGTGATGGTTTTGCTCCCACCACCAAAGAAACAGACAGGAACTGCAGTCAGACTAAAGCCAGTCCTTACAAGGAAGTGAAATAGAAGGGGCTGACTTTAGTTAGACAGATAGGAACTGTAGCTTGACTAAAGTCAGTCCTTACAAGGAAGTGAAATAGAAGGGATTGACTTTAGTCAGACAGACAAGAACTGCAGTCAGACTAAAGCCAGCCCCTACAAGGAAGTGAAATAGAAGGGGCTGACTTTAGTCAGACAAACACTGCAGTCAGACTAAAGCCAGCCCTTACAAGGAAGTGAAATAGAAGGGGCTGACTTTAGTCAGACAGACAAGAACTGCAGTCAGACTAAAGCCAGCCCCTACAAGGGAGTGAAATAGAAGAGGGCTGCTTTTAGTCAGACAGACAAGAACTGAAGTCAGACTAAAGCCAGCCCCTACAAGGAAGTGAAATAGAAGGGGCTGCTTTTAGTCAGACAGACAAGAACTGAAGTCAGACTAAAGCCAGCCCCTACAAGGAAGTGAAATAGAAGGGGCTGACTTTAGTCAGACAGACAAACACTGCAGTCAGACTAAAGCCAGCCCCTACAAGGAAGTGAAATAGAAGGGGCTGACTTTAGTCAGACAGACAAGAACTGCAGTCAGACTAAAGCCAGCCCCTACAAGGAAGTGAAATAGAAGGGGCTGACTTTAGTCAGACAGACAAACACTGCAGTCAGACTAAAGCCAGCCCCTACAAGGAAGTGAAATAGAAGGGGCTGACTTTAGTCAGACGGACAAACACTGCAGTCAGACTAAAGCCAGCCCCTACAAGGAAGTGAAATAGAAAGGGCTGACTTTAGTCAGACAGATAGGAACTGCAGTCTGACTAAAGCCAGCCCCTACAAGGAAGTGAAATAGAAAGGGCTGGCTTGAGTCAGATAGATAGGAACTGCAGTCAGACTAAAGACACCTACTACAAGGAAGTGAAATAGAAAGGGCTGACTTTAGTCAGACAGACAGGAACTGTGACAATTACAATGTTTACTCTACCTACAGATGCTATAAACTAGAAATGTTTGGAATAGGTTCAGCTCTTAGAAAGTGAGATAACAGATAATAATGTCACCTGTCTGACTCAGGTGATCTAAATTTATTATATACATGTACATATCATCTGATCATATAAAGGATAGCATTTATGACTCCACCAAAAAGAACATGACATATTGTACTTTTCTTGAATATGCTCAAATATGTGCACATAGAGGTTCTAGTAAGCTCAATGGAGCTCAAAGCTCAAGTGAGCTTTTCTTATCAAAGTTTATATTCTGTACAGCTGTTTAATGTTTTACAATTTTGACTACTTCTCAAGAACTACCAAGTCAATTTTAAGGAAAATCTTTGTACACAAGGGACTGAAGTTCAGGGCCACATACTCTTTTCAATGGAAGATAATGAAGTATGAATGTTTTAAATTTATAGACTTGGTTCATAAATGTTAAAAGACAAGTGACACTTGCAGTATAATCAAAAACAAATAACTGTGCACAGAGTATCACACTACAATGTATCACATAAATATTCATCTGCTTTCAAGGTTCAGCATTTTGATTAAATGTCATGATCTTCAATACGTCCAGCTAAGTCATATCTTTCAACGGCAGAGTCTCGCAGCGCACCTATTACTTTTCCCCGATCAAACTGTCCACCATTATCACTTATCCACTGTACCAAGCACTGGTATATCTGATCCCGTAAACTACGTGGATAATCCTGTTCCACTGACAACATGTCGCCATCCGTAACACCCAGCGTCCTCATGAAGAATCGCCATTCCTTACCCAAATTCTTTGTTAAGAAATTGATTTCTTTCATATATTCTATAAAAGAAGTCTTATTTTAGCATAATAATCTGACAATTTTTGTTAACATCAAAGGCAAAAGTTATATGAAATTGATGAAATGCAATAAAAAGCAGAAGTCTCTGACAAGACTGTAACTCTACTGCTTTGTTCTTATACAGCAGCACCTACTGGTAGACTTGAACTTATAACAGCAATGGCAACATCAATAAAAAGGAATAATGATCCTTGCTTAAACCTTTGTACCAATTTTTATTAAATTCATACCAAAAACATAAGAGCTGTAATGTTTTAAGGATGAATGCTACACCAAAATTTTATTTGATAGATCTTTAACACGTCCCTTTTAAAATAAGGTTTTAGCATTGAAAGACTGATCTTGGTTCTTAATTATATTTGTGAATTTTTTGCATTTTTTCAGAATTTTGAAAAGTTTTGTGTGAGTTGATGATGTGCAAATCACACAGACTTGTCACATAGGCATATTTCATGAAGTGTGCTAGTGCTTCATGAAAAATATGCCTTTGTTGCAAATCTGTTTGATTTACATACCAATAATTCACACTAAACTTAAAAACATTCCTTAGATTTACATTTTACATGTTTAAAAGCAGCAAAAATATACTCAGTGTTTGAATTTCTTGCTGCCCTATATCGTTATACTTTTATTAAAGTCTCTGTAGCCTCATTGTGACGTCACTTAAGTGTTTCTCTGTGTATATTTCTACGAGTGAGTATACATGAAAATGGCATTCAAATCAATTTCATAGTTGGTTAAGAAGAAAAAGATAGCAAATGTAAATATTTGCAAATATGATGTTTTAGAGTTTAAAATTTTCGGTTAATAAATGTATAAAATATCTCGCAAAACATGTCAAAAAAAGTTACATGGACATTTTTATGTTAATAAAAAAATAATTTATGAAAATAAAACACATTTTTTGTTATATTTCTTTAACCATGGATGTAATTTTCAAAAAATAAGTCACAGCTATGCTGTGAAGGATACACTAGACAATCACATGTAAAAAAGAAATTGAAATGAAACTGCAAAATCTGAGATAAATTGCTCATTTTAAAATTTGGACAATCCAGATGGTTTTATTATTAGTAACCATGGCAACACCATTTGTTGAAATTAATAAAAAAAACAATACATAGAATTATTTATCTTAGTACATGTAAAGTCTACTTGTTTATCAAGTCTTATTGAAATCAACTAAAACTATAGGAGGAGTAACGTTTTGAAAGATTTTCACAGAAAATTCTATTTTTAGTAACCATGGCAACACCAAAAACTGAAAATAGAATTATGTATCTTAGTATAGTCTTCTTTTGTACCAAGTTTTATTGAAATCAGACCAAATCTGTGGGAGGAGGAGTATTTGAAAACATTGATCATAGAGAGACACTAGACAGACGGATGACAGACACCTTACTGGCAAGATTGGAAATATGCAGCTCACGTCATTTCAATTCTGTTTCAGTCAAAACATTTGATGAAGGACAATGAAATAGGCAGATACAATTCTGCGCAGGCATATGAGAAAACATTGGATTGAAACTCTAGTTCAAAATTCATTTTTAATCTACCTCAGCAATTTTGGAATACCGGTAGTTTGAATTTTATATAATTAGAGTTTTATACCTGTCCAATTGTTTGTTTTTTTTTTAAAGAAAATAAATAGGGGACAACCATTTAATTCCAGTGTGGGGGAGGGGGTTGGCAGATCTTGGAAATAAATACATATATGAAAGTTTTTTAAATTGACTGCAATAGATTTAAATGACGTTAGCTGCATATTTCCAACCTTGCCAGTTAATCTTCTATGGTCTTAAGCTCTTCTGGTCTCTGATCAGTAGAGCTATAAATAAGTGCAAATACATGTAGTTGACTTACTGTCTACATTCACTGTATTACTTGTATTTGGATCTGTGAAAATAAAAAAAAAAAAGTTATATGAATCCAATTTCAACAAGACAGTCAGCTCAAATCTGTATGATCATATAGCTAATTTTAATGTGATTAAATTTTGTGAATCAACATGACAAATACAGGAAAGCACTGACTTCTACAATTTTGAAAGTTTTCGTATTAAGCACATTTTGGCACGACACTGTACTTTTGATGGGTCACCTTTAACAACTTTTAGCTCATCATATTACAATGAGAAAAGTTGAGGTCTAGGTCAATGGCAATGACAGTCATTAAAAAAAAATCAAAACTTGATTTGATTTAATTAATCATGCTTATGTGTGTAGTTGAAAAAATTATATGACTTATACATTTATAAGTGGGTATATACAATACCTACATATTGGCATGTATTTCATTCTATACTATAGATAGAACGTTCTATTGTTAAAATGATATTGTCCTACAGACCCGGTTTAACGATAGAATTTGTTCTGTGTATTAGCAATGTTGCAAAATAAACACGGGCAATAACTCGAACTCTGTGCGTTTTCTATGAACAATCCAGAGAGTTCCGAATGTCAACATGGCGTTAAATTTGAAGCGAGGAAAAAACGTTGAGAAAATGAGTTGAATTTTCATATTCATATTGATTATTTTTTAGGTTAAAAGGCATATATAATCTCAAAAAGGTTTGTTATGATTAATTTGGTAGTTATTTTCAGTGCAACTCCTTTTGTATTCTTCAGTCATTTCGGAGTGGATCCACTCTGATTTGCTACATTGCAAGTATATGGGACATATTCTAACTGTGGTGAGGGCTTGTTCCGAGACACAGGTAGATTATTCTAACCATCTATACTAGAAATGGACATTGGTGGTTCAAGTGGTTAATCTTATGTTACATTTTTAACTTACTTAAATGATTCATTTGATAAGGAGTACGATTCCCCATCACTGGTTGTTGCGATGGTTGACAAACTGGCCGAGGTGGCACAAACTGTTGATCATCTGGAATTCCATTCTCAAAGTTTTCAATTATCTTCATCACATCAACACGACCATTACAGGAATGACGAATGAGATCCTTAAGAAACATTAAATTTGTTGGACCTAGTTTTTCTCGGGTCTCCAGAATTTCCCACAAATCTGTAGGTCTTTTAACATTTTCTCTTTCTCTTTTCCTAACATCATCTTTACACAGAAACATGAGCGACTCAAATTCCTCAGTTTTCAATGATTTATCAAGCTTCAGTAACATTTGTTTATATTCAAAATCAGCAGCCATAATGTTTCGTATCAATGGTTTGTCTTTAAAATCCCACAAGTGAACTTAACATCTTTTTATGTTCTTGTCCTTCGGCTTTGGCTTTGGTTGGGAATTCCCGTTGTTGTTCCTCATTTCGAACCCGATTTCTTTGGGGAAAAAATAATAATAAAAATAAAAAAGGAAAATTGTTCATAAAACATTTCATTTGTAAAACTAATACATGTACTATCTTTTCGATCTTTTCACAGTAAAATGCTTTACCAAAGATTAGCGTCAACACAAAAGTTGTAACAAAATTTATTTTTAAATTCGGGATCAATATCGTCTTACTTTTTCTACTTTCTGTTTGTTGGAGTCATGCTCACAACATACAGTAACGTACACGTGTCTTAAATGATAAACAGGAAAGTTCAGCAAGAAAGATGTTAAAACTGATAAACATAAAGCCAGAAAGTTTGTTCTTATTGTTTTTACTATACGTATATGTAAAAACATTGGATGGAGAACGACCCTTTAGGACACTCAAAGTGAATCAGATATGGGAAAAAGCACAGAAGGTTTGTTTTGTTTGAGTTCCCATTAATTTTTTTTTTCAATTGCATTCATATATTGTTAAGTTGATTCTAAGGGTTAGTATTGTTACAATTTTTGATGGGTCAGAGAGTGGCTTTTTATCAGGTCCAGCCCAAAGGACTATTTCTACCTACGTAGCTATTAATAGCTACCTAGGTATTTAAACCTACTTGAAGAAGCTCACTTCTACCTACTTTTACCTGTCTTTGAAAATAAAATTAGATAATAATTACAGCGCATCTTTAAAACAGGTCAAACTTATTGTTTATCATCTTGTGCACTAGTCCGAAATATCTGACGTTTTCCTGGCTTTTTTACTATTTTGATATTTTACGTGCCAGGAAAACGTCAGAACCGGCGCCATTACGAAAACTGGAAATTTCGCCGTCTCCAATCGGAGTTGATTTTTGATACCTGGGAACCGAATTAAATGCCGTTTTTACAATTTATCAATAGCACAATGCTTCTAGTACTCACCAATATCGAAGAAAAGAAAACATCACTCATCATTTCGATGCAGGACTTGAAGAAAGATTTTTAAAATGCACGAAATGAAAACAAATCTCGACAGTCAGATAAAATGTTTTCATCGGATTATATAATTTATAAACAAACCATAAAAACGATGTTGGTGAGTACTAAAAGCATTGTACTATTGATAAATTGTGAGTTTGACATTTCATTCGCTTTGCAAGGATTGAAAATCAACCCGAGAATGCCGCCTCTGGTTGGAGGCGGCGAATTCCCAGTTTTCCTAATGGCGCCGGTTCTGATGTTTTCCTGGCACGTAAAATATCAAAATCGTGAAAAAAGCCTGGAAAACGTCAGATATTTCGGACTACTTGTGCACTTGCACAGAAAAAATTCAGTGTGTTAATTTGTCATTGTCAATTATCCAAGTCATTGGTGTAAAATCGGTTGGATGGTTTAAATCTTACTTATCCAGTAGAAAACAAATGATAAATGTTAACAACACTTTTTCAGATGTCAATTATATTTCGTGTGGGGTACCTCAAGGCAGTATACTTGGGCCTCTTTTATTTTTATTGTATGTAAATGACCTCAGTGTCAGTAATGATTCTGAATGCAAAGTTCTTTTATATATATATGCAGATGATACAGCTATTCTTTTTTCACACACCAATCCAGAAGTCATTAGTATAAAAAACTATCTGAGATTTTAGAGGAATGTAAGCACTGGTTAGTTGATAATAAACTTTCTCTACTTTTAGGAAAGACAGAAAGTATTTTATTTGGACCTCCAAGAAAATTTAAGTCATATGATATGAACACCTTTTCAGTAGTATGTGATGGAATCAAAATTGAATGTAAAAATTGTGTTAAATATTTAGGAGGGTTTTTTTAAGACAACATACTATCTGGTGAGAAAATTGTAGAAAGTATTATTAGCAAAACAAACCAACAACTTAAATTTTTATATTGGCAAAAATCATGTTTGTCAATGCAATCAAGAAAATCTTTGTGCACTGCTTTAATTCAATGTCACATCGATTATGCTATCACTTGTTGGTATGAAAGACTATCTGTAAAATTAAAAAAAAAGACTTCAGGTTTCACAGAACAAGATTATTAGATTTATTCTTGATGTTTCACCTAGATCAAGAGTCAGTGTTAATGAATTTGAAAAATTGGGTTTTTTGAATATCAGAAATAGAGTTTGTCAATTAAGCCTCAACCATGTCTACAATATATATCATAATAAAGGTCCAAATTATATGTACAGCAATTTTAAGCGAAATGTTTCTACAAATTGTACAAGGTCAAGTAAATTTAATTTTTTTGTGCCAAGGGTTCAAAAATGGAAAGTGAAACTTTTTTTACAATAGAATTAAAGATTTGAATTCTCTACCTGATCAGATTAAAACAATAACCAATAAATCAAAATTCAAAAAAGAGGTCAAAAAGCATTTTATGGAAAAACTTATGAAAATGTCCAAAGAAGACTTTTTATACTACATGTATTAGATTTATAACCAAACTGTTCTTAGAGGCTTTTGCATATTAAGTATGATTGAAATTTTAAGCCATTTTGTTTATAGTAAGTATATTATGTATTGTTTATATTAAGTATATTATATATGTCATATGCCAGTAATTTTGTTACATGTAAAAGGACCCCATTTGAAATAAGCCATACTGGCTTTCATGGGCTATCCTTGGGTTTAGGCATATATATAATATAATATATTTAGTTGATTTATATGCAAAATAAGATTTATTAGTTAATTCGTTTTAAAATCATCTCTTAAATCATGTCTAATTAAGTTTTATATGTATATAATACTCACACCTCAATGTTCATGTACATTGCATAATGCCTATTCCTAAATAAAGATTATTATTATTTTGTAAACTTTTTTGAGGGCGGAAATTGGACAGGAAGGGCATGAAAAATCATCCCCAAAATTTTTTTGTCTAAGATTGCATGAAGATTAGCTTAAAAATTGATACAGGTTTGTAATTTTAGACTTTATGATCCTTAGCTACCAGAAAATGAAACTGGATGTTGTTTTTATGCAAAATTGATAAGTTAGAAAGTAATCATTTTTTCCAAATTTTTTGTCGTATTCATCATCAGTGTGACTGTATTAAGAAATTTGGTGGTTACCATATTGCGCTGTTCGTGGGTTTGGCCACAAAATGCAAATAAAGCAAAAAGTAGGTAAAAATAGCTACCTGGAGTAGGTTTAAATACCTAGGTAGTTATAAGTAGCATGTGGCATGTCGTCTGTTAATATTTCACATGTTCAATTTCTTCTCTATAACGACTGGGACAGTTTAAACCAAACTTGCCACAAAGTATTCTTGGGTGGAGGGGATTCACATCGTTCAAATGAAGAGTGATACCCTTTTCAAAGGAGTAATGAAAAAGAGGTGAAAAGTATTAAATAAAATTAATGAAAAAGGAGAAGTCATTCCACTTGTGTTGACACAAGGTAATAATGAGGAGAGAACTTGACATATTTAAGGTCTTATTAGTTGTAGTTGTTCTTGAAAAATCTATGTGACAGGAATTAAAAGTGTTGCTTAATGTTATTAGTGAAAATTGTAAAGGCAGAAAACAGTGCTTTTGTGGATTAAAATATTGAAATCTCATAAGTATTCTACATTGTGAACTGCTTCTTGTTATATTGTGTAAATGGCAAACACAAGGCAAATGGTAAAAAACAAAGATAAAACTGATAAAATGGAAAAAAGTGCTAGAAAGAGCAGAGCAAGCCCAAGGTGATAAATGGGCTATAATTAAAAAAGATCTACAAGAAATTAGCGACCATCAAGAAAACATAATAATAAAAGCAGATGACCTAAATTAAATCTCTCATAAAAAGCATTGTGAAAGAAATAGTAGAAGAGTACAAGAAAGAAGCAGAAAAGAAAGATCTTATGTATATACACAAAATAGAAAAACTGATTGACAGCATAGACAAACTAACGCTTGACAGTGAATACTGAGCAAAAACAAAAAAAAACTTGGGAGTTAGAAATCATAGTCAAACAAGCAGAAATGGCCTCTTTTGCAACTGTACAAGCAAAATGCAATAAACTGTATAGTTGTAAAAACAGTATAAAATCTATGGGTTCAAAGAAAATATAAATAGAGGATATTCAATGTGTAGTAGATGAATATGGAATTTCTTTCACCAGTGGGACAGGATTTTTTTAATACTTTCACGAGTGCTTTGCACTCATGAAAATATCAAAATATCCTGTCTCATGACAAATAGTGTATTTTCCAAACTAGTAATGTTAAAGATTCGTTTTTGATGTCGGAGATTGTGCTGGTAGGACAGCCGTATATACTCGCATATAAGTCGGTCCGCCTATAAAGTCGGTTGTATTTTTTAAGCTTTCTATTAGAGGGCTTGACCCTCTAAAATACCAATCTTTTTATAACTTGCCTATAAGTCGGACATAGAGTTTTTGACCAAAGTTTAACTCCCAAAAAACGGACTTATAGGGGAGTGTATATGGTACACCTAGAAAATTATTTAAAGATACATGAATTTTTGCAAAACATATGAGCTCAGACTTTGGAATTTTGGGACACCCCTTGTTTATTGATATTATGGGCATCCCCATATAAGTATGAATTCAAGTTAGGTTAAATCATAACCCTCATGGTATTAGCTTAAAGCCACAAAATTTAAGGGATCAAAGAGGGAAAAATCTTTAAAAATCTTCTGATGAAGAACAATAAGACCAAAGTGACTCAGGTGAGCATCATGGCGCATGGGCCTCTTGCCAACAAAATATATTATAGAGTCTGATATAGAATTTTACATTCACACAAAGTGGTCAAATGACATGTCTTAATGAGAGTTACATTGGTCATATATGAGTACTTTATTATGAATTTTTAAAAAATATGTACATACCTGGTAAATAAAGCAGTGCAAAATGCCAGTAACATGTTGAACTAGCATTTGTTCCTCTTGTTTTTAGGTCAAAGTTTATATGATCTCTTTGTTGTATATATTGTGGTAGAATGAAGACTAATGTTCAAGTAATTGTATTCATCGACTTATTATTTCTGATTCTTTAAGCTCCATTCAGGACCAAAGTTAGCTGATCTTTATGCAGATTTGAAAATTCAAGACAAAGTAGAAATAGAACTTAAAAAGTTGAAAGCCGAGGATATGGATAAAGATGGCATGAAAGAGGCAGAAGTTAGACAGAGGTTAATGGGTGAGATTTTGTAATTAGATATGAATTCTGAACATTTACATATATCGATTAAGCATGAGTTTTTGGAAAGAATAGGAAAACAATATTTTTATTAAAAGTGGTGTCAATGTAGACAGTAAAGATAACAATTTTGGATTGTATAGAAAAAAATCTTAATTCTGCAGATCTTTTGGAGAAATACAACATGAAAAATGTAGTATCTATGCCAAAGCCACAAGATATAAGTAATGAAATACCAGAAACATTTGATCATCAACTTCGAGACAAAAAGCTTCAGAAGCTATGGAAGAAAGCAGAATTTGCTGGATTCTCAGGTAAAAATACATCTATTTTCAAGATAATTAATACACTTTGTAATGTGTCATGTATATTGCAAGTTTTTACCATACATGTCTTTGTTTTATGACCTTCATAAATTAAATCCAGCAGAATGTTTCGGTACTCATTTTGTTGTCAATTGAAATAACATGTATGTCCATACTACATGCTTATCTTTCTTTATGTCAGTTTATAATGTATATTTGTGTACATTATGTAAAAATGCCATTTCAGAATCAGAATTGGAGAAATTGAAGGAGGAATTTTTACACCATCAGATGAAGGTGGATGAATACAACTCTCTACAGGAAAACTTTAATCTCAGGGATGGTAAATGTATTATAATATTAACTTTCATTCCAAATTACAGGACTTCTTTCTTAATTATTAACACAAAGCAATTACAAATACTCAATACAGTTGAACTTGGGTATCTTGAACATCGATATCAAGAATACCATGGATATGTCAAAATGATTTGGAAGTCCAAACCAAATTTTCTGTAAAATTTTGTTGTGCATTTTACCTACAATATCTCAAAATCTTGGATATACCGTAGGTTTTTTCCTAGCCCTTTCAAGTTCAAGATAACAGGTTTGACTGTATTTTATTTGCAAGTGCAAGTTTCAGTCATATAACTTATTATGGAAGACTGTGGCCTTAATTCTTAGTTTCTTATACATGTATATGTTTATATTTTTCAATTGTTTAGATTATGAGGATAATTTGATTGATGTGGAACAAAACAGGGTGAAGAAAAACAAGAAGCTGGAGTTGAAAACAATGTACAAGGATTTGAAGACGGAGTATGACAAACTAGAGTCGATGGCTGCAGGAGTTAATGTTCCAGACAAATCTTTCCAGGATCCACGAGTGTATGAGCTGTGGGCACTTGCCCAGAGAGCTAGAATGTCACCAACTGAACTAGAATCCATCAAGGTACACTCATTATATTCATATTCCATATTGGAAAAACTTTTTATTTGGCTGATTCAGGTAACCACACAATGTGGATAATTAATTTGTAATACCCCTGGTACATAAATTCAGATGTGTTAAAATATGTGCATATGAGTGACTAGAATGTTTTACCTTGATTTGTCATCTTGAATTCTTTGCCCTAATTTTTAGACAGAACTTCAGCATTTTGAACACAGGCTACAAAAGCATGAATACTACCAGGATCAGTTAAGAATTTCTGATGAAGCATTAAAACTCAATTATAAAGATGGGGAAGTTCCAGATAAGCATGCCAAGCTGGAACAGATGGCTCGAGATTATGGAAGGAAGGTTTATACATTTTGTTTGAAATGAACCTCCTTGATTAATAGGAAAAAAAAGATTGAAAATGCAGTTTTTGGAATGTTTAGTATACAGCTGTGTTTTTAGAGCACTTTTATTTTTGTGGCAGAATAAATGAAATATGGAGAATAAAACATGAAATTAACATTTTAGCAAATTAATTTAAACAGTTGAATGAATAATGAAATGGGAAAGAAAGTTTCAAAATGTTATAAAGACTGATTCGGTTTTGTTGTATACAGGTTGAGAAATATCACACGGACCTAAAGTACCGAATCAACAAGGCATTAAAGCAGCACATAGAGCTCTAACATTAAAGGATGTACATGTAGTCTGTGTCTGGCAGCAGAAAACAAACTACAGTAGTTACTGAGAAAGTTAATATCAGATAAAGAAACAGGAAAAGGAATAGACTAAGAGGCGAGAACTAGAGATAAATGGACACAACATGTCAAGTCCAACAAACTTTCTTCTGGTAAAACTAACAAATCTCCTGTGTCCTTCATTGTAAAACATTCCTGAACTTAGAAAAATTTAAATGTCATTAAAAAAAGAAAGCTGAAATGGTCATTATTAGAAGAAAAAAAATATCCTCTGGTTTACTATGATAAAACAGTTGGCTTACGATACAAAGGAAAGAGCTTGTTTCAATCATGTGCATTTCAATACTCATGTCATTTATGTATGCAACTTATAAGAAAATGGAATTTATCTTGTAGCAAACTGCAATACTGATAATGAAAATATGAAAATTTTATTTTATGAATCTCATACTTTGTACACATTATTATCAAGAGCAATATATGGTATTAATTGATATATTTTGGGGAACTGGGTTTTGTCAATTTTTTTTTTTATTTTTGAATACAATCTTAAAAATTGCAGTAAGAGATATACAGTATATAATTTTTTTTTTGATTAAAACTGATATACATGTATGTGTACATTATTTCATTTCAAAATGTAAGTGTATATGGAAGATATTTGTGTAGTTACCACAGTGCTATATGAACATTATTTTGTTTTTTAGCCAATTATAAAATGGCACTAAATGTATATGAATAATATGTTTGTAGTTACCACAGTACTATATCAACATTATTTTGTTTTTCAGTCAATTATAAAATGGCACTTTCTAAGAAAATATTGCTCATAAATGTGAATTACATCTAGCGATGCATACACATCAGGAAGTTCATATCCAGTCTTTCTTATGTCATTATTGGCAACCCAAGGATTTACTATCTATTTTCACTTGGGTTATTGCGACAGTTTGTAAAGGTCCTTCTGTGTTACTGAAAGGTAGTTTAGTGTTGTCTTGTTAGTAACTCGTGGATAGAAGACCTTTGGGTTACTGTATGGATAAAAGACCTTTGGGTTACTGTATGGATAGTAGACCCTTGGGTTACTCTATGAAAAAGAGGTTGTATGGGTAACTAAAAGGCATGAAGGTAACTTTATGGTGGGGGTGTGCAGAAGCCCTTTTGGTAACTAAATGGATCGAACACCTGTAGAGTACTGTGTGGATTCCAGACCTGTGGGTTAACTTATGGATATTAGACTTGTGGGCAACTATATGGATATAAGACCTGTGGGTTACTGAATGGGATAGTAGACATATGGGCGTTTGTATGGATAAAAGACCTGTGGGTTACTGTGTGGACGGAAAACTTTTTGAGTTACTGAATGGATAGAACACCTGTGGGTTACGTACAGTTTATAGACCTGTGTTGATAGTTTTCAAGATGGTAGTCAAAACCTGCCGATATGAGAAGAATTTGAAATTACAGGAGCCGCAGCTTCAACATTGCTGCACAGACTTTTATGAAATTTGCTAAGTAACTAGATCTTGCCATTCTGATTATTTTCACCCCTCAGATTTTGCCTATCTGCTTTTGATATTTATTTTCGCATTATTAGCAAAAAACTTCTTAGAATCCTTATGTTTTATCTACACAAATGGTGGCCTTGTTTCAACAAAGATGACACTGACAACAGATGCTAAGTGATGGTATTAGCTCACCTGGCTCTCAGGGCCAGGTGAGCCAAAAGTTCTACACAAACATTAATAAAATCCGAAACAAATTCAAACCAAACCATTATGAACTGCTCTACAGTTTTTGTTTTATTGACACTGATTGTCTGACAAAATGTACTAAATTCATGTTGAAATCTTATTTCACAAAACATTGTTATACAGATCAAACATTTAGGGAGAGTAGAGAATAGAACTGGCACATGTCTTGAGTAAAGATTATCCATGAGTATTTCTTGACAATATGATGTCATTGTGTATGTATTAATATAAATTTTTTTTTCTGTATAATTTGTACAAGACTATGGTATGGTACAATGAAGCATCAAACAACCTGCAGATAAACGAGCACAGTAAAGATAATACCACAAACAAATTTTCTTATCTCCCATACAGAAGAGTTGTATTGCTATTTTTTCATCATTTCTTTCAATCAAAATCTAATAAGAAAATTTTAATTATGTAAAATGTAAAAATAGACTCTACAAAATGTTCCTAGAAACTTTTCAGTAACAAAACTTCATATACATGTATTTCTTTAATTTTCAAAAATTACTCTTAGCTGTAAAGTTACTTTTTCCCCTTTTTTCACCAAATTTTTTAGCATGGTCAAACATAAATTTGTTCAACTAAACAAATATCACTTCATTAGTTAGAGAGGCTCCTAATTAAGCAAAGATATTTAAATTCTTGAAGAAAATTTTTTTTTTTTTGTTATTTATTCTTAAACCACATACTGTACGTTAACCTGTAACTACAATGTGATTCAGTGGATGTTTGGGATAAAAAATGAAAAAAAAAATATAAGTGATGAACACAAGATCTACGATACATTTGCTAGTTTTGTTCTAGTTTGGTCACAATGGCCGTTACAAGTAGATGAGGACACGCCTCCAGCCCTTCATCACAACATGGCTGTCTTGGCATTTTCTCCATTGACCTCTGCTACAACCTTTTGCTGTAATGGAGATCCCTCCTCCTTTTCTTCTATACCATCTTGAAACTTTAATTCCAAGTCTCCACACTGTTTTATCTAGGAGTGAAACAATTCAGGTGTATAACAACATATGTTTTAAGTGATTTTACAAGGTTTATTTGAACATGTTTAAAGTATGGATAAATTTAATACTTCCTGAATTTTCTCTCTTGAATTCACGACAGCTTAAAAGTATTGTAAGCACCATGAAAAGGCCAACCTAGGAATCTTGAGATATAGTTGATTAAATTTAAAACAAGAACCATTTTTTTTGTCAACCACACAGATTTCCATTACCCAAGAAAATGTTTTGTAAATATAATGTAATGGAAATCATTGCTGATGTAAATTCCAAATAAGAGATTTATGTGGTTGCTATATCAGTTGTATGGTTTTTGTGTGGTTTAGTACATATGCCATGGGTACACATAGAACTAAAAGATATACCTCATCATATCGTACTCCAAATCTGAGGGGTTTCCTGATTTTCTCTGGTAAAAATGGACAGAATACATCAAATATTGGGCAGAAAAGCTTAGGGTCCATCTCACTTGGCTTTTCTAATCCTGTAAAAGTCACTGACATGTCATCAACAAGCAAAAAAGACTAAAGGTCACTGCAGAATCTTTATTCTAGATGGATAAATACATGTAGTATGTGCAATGTACCAACATTAAAAACTTTTATAATGTACTAATTACTTATAGTTTTTTTTTCAGTTTAAATGTACAACATGTTTTCTATTGTTCATTGTTCATATTTTACCTGTGATTGCACTGACTAGCATTCCGACTGCTATCACCACAATCATCGCCGTGGCACTGTACCAGAGGTAGGAGAGGGAGTAGAATCTGTCCATAACATTACTGAAAAAAACAATGCTGGTAAATCAGTATTTATCATGTTACTGAATAATTCAAGAAGTAGACCTCACAATACTGTAAACTATGTAAAACTTTAAATATTGTGGATTTCAAGTCTGAGAGTAAATCTGAGTCTAAGGTATATGTAAAAGCTATCTAAAAAAAAGTTTGAAATTTATTTATTTTAAACAAAGTCCATTATTTTTTTGGAGAGGATTTAAAAAAAAAAAACCTATCCTATTTTCTCTATTTATTATCTCCCCTGGAGAGGATTACATGCATCTCCCTTCATTTGAACACACTGGAATTGAGTTTTTTAGTTTTCCTATTATCCAGTTTACCTAAAGATCATTTTTACCAAATGTGGTTAAAATGCCATGCTGTTACTGAAGAAAAATAGATCCAAAAGATAAAATTTTGATCAGATATGGGAAAAATAGAGATACACTGTAATAAATAATGCTTTTTATCCTATTCAAATAATTCACTCCATATACTTGTCACCTCCAACTCTGATTCGTTCCACACAAAAATACCCCACTATACATTATAAGGGAGATATAATGTATAGTGGGGTATTTTTGTGTGGAACAATTATTTTGGGGTTTTCACGATTTTTTCCTATGGTACACATGATGAATAAGTGTAATAAATATAATTTGTGAAAAAAAATGTCCAACAAGCCCCGGGGTTGAATATTGGGGGGTGGGGGGGGGGGGTGGGGTTCCTGTCCACAAGTACCTGTGGTGTGGAGTACCCAATCAGCTGTCAAATACATGTACCACCATCCACATACTAGCAGTTGGTATCTAGCTATTGCATGTAATTTTTCCAGTTTGAATATAGGTACAGTACTAGGTAAGTGCTATATACACAATGGACTATGAGAGTCTATTAATGTGTCATGTCAGGGATAAAAGGGAAAAGTTAGAGACTATATGACTAGCATAGGGTTTTGTATTTTTGTAAATTCAGTAAACACCATTTATCTTGTACTTACTATGAATCTTCCTTTGCCATGTCTGCTGCTGTTGTGAGGGTGGCATTAACTGTAGAGATAAACACTGAGCTCTGAGTAGTCATGTTACTGACATAGAATGAGTTGAGGGTTGTCGGGGGAACTTTTGTGGTCAGATTCCAGTTGCAGCCCTCCACAGAGATGGGTGAGAATGTGGCTACCTTTGGTTTGTGGACCTGGTACCCTACACTTATCCACAGCATGAAGACAAGACTTGTCAACATTCCAGTCACAGCTCCCTGCATCATTTACATTAAAGGTATATACAATAAAGTATTTCACTTTCAATAAAAAAAAATTTAAAAAAAAAAAAAGAAAAAGAAAATGTTTGCGCACAAAATAAGAGTTTCGGACATTGTAATGAACAGAAATTTTAAGTTGAAGATACATGTATCATTAATACCATTATAATACCTTTTCATTTGCCCATGGAAACAACATTCCAAGTGTAAAAACACCCAACAATGGCCCTCCAATTACTCCAAACAATGCTAGGGCAGCCTAGAATTAAAACAGATTATACTACTGTAATACATCCTATCCCTATTGAATATTATTGGAACAAAATTGAACCTTTACTATGTGAGGATGGTTGGATAACTAAGGAATCTTTCCTTATAAGTTTCAGTATTTTCTAGTGCATTGGTTCTGTACAGATTCTGATGACTCCATTCTAATTCACAGACACTGGATGTCATACTAAGTATATCCTGGTTACCACATAAATAAAACCCCACAATTTGCCACTGAAAGATAACCTTGGAAGAAAAGAATCTTATGACATCAAGTTTAAAAGCCCTATTTTTATCTTTTCTTATTTATTTCTACCTGAAAGATGGCCTCATACTTTTCTTACAAAACTTAACCAGATGTGCTTGTGAAACACTGATGCCCCTGTATGGTAGCTCAAGGCCAAGGTTAAACTCCAAGGTCAAGAGTTCAAAAATGGTGGTACCTAAAGAAAGGTCTTGTCACAAAGAATATACAGGTGAAATATGAAAGCCCTAGCACAACCATTCAGAAAATATGGCCAAGGTTCAAGTTTTTCAAAAGTAGACCATTCTCCAAGGTCAAGTCATGAAGTCAAAAATATTGGTACAAAAGAAAAGGTCTTGTCTCAAGGAATACATATGTGAAATATAAAAGTGTAGAACCAACCATTCAAAAATTACAAGCAAGGTTAATTTTTTTTTTACAAATGTAGGTTAAACTCCAAGGTCAAGAGGTCAAAACTGTTGGTATTCAAAGAAAGGTTTTGTCACAAGGAATACATTATGGTATATGAAAGTCCTATCACCAGCTGTTCAAAAGTTATGACCAAGGTGAAAGTTGTTCAAAAGTAGGTCAAATTCAAAGGTCAACTCCAAAAGGTAAAACAAGAGGCCCATGGTCCACACCGCTCACCTGAGCACAATGGCTAGGAAAAAGCACAAATCAATTCAGTATTGAAAAGAAGTTTACAACTTGAATCTACACTACCCAAGGATGCTTCCATATCAATATGACTAAACATGGCTCTGCTGTTCTTGAGAAAAAGATTTTTTCCTTTATATTCCTATGTAAAACTTTGATCCCCCATTGTGGCCCCACACTACCCCCGGGGGTCATGATTTGAACAAACTTGAATTTACAATACCTGAGAATACTTCCATATCAATATGACTCAACATGGTTTTGCTGGTCTTGAGAAGAAGATTTTTATAGATTTTTTCCTATATAATTCGATGTGAAACTTTGATCCCCCCTTGTGACCCCACCCTACCCCCAGGGGTCATGATTTGAACAAATTTGAATCTACACTACCGGAGGATGCTTCAATATCAATATGACTTTTCATGGCTTTGTTGTTCTTGAGAAGAAGATTTTTAAAGTTTTTTCCTATATATTCCTATGTAAAGCTTTGATCCCCCATTGTGGCCCCACCCTAACCCCAGGGGGTATTGATTTGAACAAACTTGAATCTACACTACCTGAGGATGCTTACATATCAATATGACTAAACAAGGTTTTGCTGTTCTAGAAGAAGACTTTTAAAGATTTTTCCCATACATTTCTATGTAAAACTTTGATCCCCCCTTGTGGCCCCACCCTGCCCCCAGGGGTCATGATTTGAACAAATTTGAATCTACACTACCTGAGGATGCTTACATATAAATATGACTAAACAAGATTTTGCTGTTCTTGAGAAGAAGATTTTTAAGATTTTTTCCTATATATTTCTATGTAAAACTTTGATCCCCCATTGTGGCCTCACCCTACCCCCAGGGGTCATGATTTGAACAAACTTCAATGTACACTATGTAACAAAGGTATCCTATAAGTTTCAACTTTTTGGGCCAGTGGTTCTTGGGAAGAAGATTTTTAAAATATGCCAACATATTTTCACTATTTATTAATTATCTCCCCTTGAATGAGGACGTGGCCCTTCATTTGAACAAACTTGAATTCCCTTTACCCAAGGATGCTTTGTGGCAAGTTTGGTTGAAATTGGCCCAGTGGTTCTGGAGAAGAAGTTGAAAATGTGAAAAGTTTACAGACGGATGGACAGACAGACAGCTAGACGGACAGAGGGACTACAGACAAAATGTGATCAGAAAAGCTCACTTGAGCTTTCAGCTCAGGTGAGCTAAAAATGTTGGTACCTAAAGAAAGATCTGGTCACATGAAATACATCTGTTAAATATAAAGGCCCTAGCATCAACCGTTCAAACTTTATGGCCAAATTTAAAGTTTGGTAAGATTTTGCAAAAGCAGGTCAAATTCCAAGGTCAAGGTAAAAAGTAAAATATGTTGGTACCTGAACAAAGGTCTCGTCACAAGGAATACACATGTGAAATATGAAAGCCCTTTCACCAACCATTTTAAAAGTTATGGGCAAGGTTAAAGTTTTTGCAAACAGACAGACAGACAGACGGATGAACAGACCAAAAACTCTATACTCCTGAATCTTCAAATACAGGGGGATAAAAATGATTCCTGTCATTCAAGGATGTCCAGTGGTTCTCGAGAAAAGTGCAAAAGTGACATCCTGACAGATAAAGGGCAAACTGTGATCATCGGAGACTAGCTACAGATGCAAAATATTGTATATTACTATTGAGTGTTCAAATCACGAAAACATTTAACAGGTTATATGTAGAGTACGAGTTTCCTACTGTATCGGAGATACAGGGCGGGGCTTAAGGCGAGAGCGATAGCTCGAGCCGGGCCCCGCGCTGTATCTCCGATACAGTAGGAAACGAGTATTCTAAATGACTTGTGACATGACCTTTCTTATGACCTCGCTAATTTACATGTGTATTTGGGTATATATCTCTCAACCAATCAGATGATTTTGCAGAAAGTTGATTTAGTACCCCATTTTTATCAGTCGCAACTGAAATGCCGAGTGAGGTGGACGTGCAGGTATCTATCAATTTAAATAATTATAATTATGAGATGCATTATATAATGTGTTTTCCCAAAATTTAATTTATTTTGATTGCGTAGGTTTTTTCCTATCTATTTAGCTCTTGCTGACTTTTTTTAAAAATCTAAGCTGCGAATTTAGTGCAAAACATTTTGATACATAAGAATCATATATGGGAATGTATTTCAAGCAAAAATGTTTCGGGGAGGTTGTATTCTGAGAGAAATGTCCGACAATGTCATCGACCGGTCGTCATACATGTGTATACAAAATTCTTGGCTCCAAATTGAAATAAACAGATGTAAGAAAGGGGGCATATTACCTTCATGTTTGAAACAAAATGTAGAGAAACCAAGGCAGATCCAGCTCTCACTCGCGCGTGTCGGTACCCCCCCCCCCCCTTTCGATTTTTTTTCTTTTTTGGCTTTCGAAAATTATGTTTGCTAAACTTGTATACACTTTTAATTTATGAACACGAAACGATCACGCACATATAGTGTCAGGCCTGATTATGAATCTACCCCCCTCCCCCCCCCCCACGAAACTCCCGATTTTCCAGTTTGGACATTTTTTTTTCGATGAAAACCATTTGTGTACTGCCCCCACTCCCACCTTTATAAAATTTTTGAATCCGCCACTGGTAACTTTATGTTGTAAAATTCTATTCTTAATTCATCTCAAATTTTGAATAAATACTAACAGCGCTATCTTGCGATTTGATTGATTCTTATGTCTATATTATTTAAGATACGGATTCAGTTTTCCGTCAATAAACCGTACTGTATCGTTGATATTTTTCAGATACAGCACAGTTTCTGCTCATTTGCATAAGAAACGCCCACTAAAAGTGTTCTGTATCGCAGTTATTGTACGGCTGACTTCAAAGGAAAACTCGCCGGGTCATGTCACAACTGACAATACAGTAAAACTAAGTTATAAGTCACTGGGACCTTTTTGTTTTCTTATATATATATATATATATATATATATATATATATATATATATATATATATATATATATATATATATATTGAAATAACCGTGTGCCCGACCGCTTGAGAAGCACAAATTTTGCAGCAGGCGAATACATTTGCATGGATTGACGCCGGGCTGGATTAAACTTTTCGATATTTTAAATTAACTGATATTTTTGACAAATCGTTCTCAAATAACTAATAGTATCGGTAGCAAGAAGTAAAATTCATAGGTCTATAGATTCTGAACCGAAGTTATGGTGACCTTGTCCTAGTCGCATAATTGCTAAAAAATAAATTTATGAAAGCCAATTATTTTCTCGGGCCAGTAGGCTAAATCTTTGGTAAGACTGTCAAATAACTTTTACTAGCAGTTAGCTCTTCGTGTCTGGTGAGTTTTACCGCAAGTATACTAGTAACTTAGATTCTTTATAACTCTACAGGATTCCTTGTAACCGAGATTTCCTTATTAATCATGTTCTTTATACAACCAAGTTTTACTGTACATGTATATACCGATATTTATTAGCTGCAGACCTGTAGCTCGCTGGTATGAAAAAAATTGGGATGGACGACCAGTCAATATTTTTTTTTTCGGAGAGCTACAGTTCTGCAGCTATAATTCATATATCTTTATATACTGGATAGAAAATAAATTCAAGTCGTAAAAAAAATTGCTAAGTGTTATGATTTGTTTTTCAGAATCATTCACAAAACACGCAGTTTTGACACTAATGAATGTAATTCCTTGCCTGCAGAACTCCACCCAAAAGAGATGCTACGTAGGTCAGTCCTAAACAGATGAAGCCAAAGACGAGGGCTGAAAAGAGCAGGCAGGTAAAATTGGAAAATTCCACGAATAAATATGTATATGTCAAAGACATCTCTTCAAATGGAAAAGAAAGTTATAAAATGCAGAACAAAATGTACATGTAAATTGTTACCTATAATCTTTGATGCATAAGTGGCAATGATCTCGGAATTAATTCGTTTGACACAGAAAACTCGGAGGACATCTTGTAGAAGAACAGCTGCGATAGAGTTTAGTCCAGAAGAAAGAGTACTGGAAAATGAAGCAGTATCTGAATCAGTGGGCATGTTTATAAGGTAATCATAGAATTTTTATAAACAACTGTCAATTAAATATTTTAATTTATTCACTATAAATTTGGAGAAAAAGATGATAGGAGATCTTCGTCTAATATTGAGTTTTGTTTGAGCATTACTTAGTAAACGTTTTCGACTGATGCATCTTTGTATGTCGGAAACGATATTTTTAAAAACAGCTTAGAGACAAAAGGTTACATTAATATCGATAACAAATATTGCATATTAGAATACAAAAATAGAAAAAAAGGTGACTAGGTCCCAGATTTAAAAAGAAAAAAAATGGAAAGAGGGGGGGGGGGGTCCGTACCTCAAGTGCATGTGACCTTGATATGAAGAAAGTTTGACAGAGAGAATAGGAGGAGCAATAATTTATTATCATAACACAAAATTGAAAATATGAGGTATATATGAACACAAGAGGCCCAAGGGCCTTAACGGTCACCTGAGTATGATACAACAATTTAAAGAATGCATAGAGTATAAAATGAACTGAAAGGTGAAACTTTGTTGCCAAAAAGCAAGAAAAATAGGGTGATCATGATCAACAAAATAATTGGTCTTAATATTCATTAACACTTTATAAATTATGTTCTATAAATCTGATCCTCATTTATCACTATCACCATACAGTATATTAACAAATTATCAATGCTTCTGTACTATTTTAATCCTTTGTTGAAATTTCTTACATTGGCCTCTCTTGGTCCTTGATGAACATTTAATAAGACAAGTTATTTTTGTCTCATTTTTATTTATCTACTACTTACAAGTCTAACTGATCATTAAAACTACGAAAGTACTTTTTGTATTATACAATAAAAGTTTTTGCATAATTATCTTATTCTATTTACCTTTCAAGTACATTATTTACAGTGATAAATTATCAAAAGTAAATGGCAAAGGGGAATAACTCCTCTCAGTAGAATACAACATAATAGAGCCCTGGCCAGGACCAGAACACTTGACCAAATGGTCCAGATGTTCAAAAATCTGGTAAAAAATAATCTTCCTTATTAAAACTTTTACTCTTTTTGCCTCTGATATGCCCAGGTGCGGAGATGATTTTTAAAGAAATAATGCATTTTTACTACAGATTCACTATATTATCAATAGAGCCCCCCCCCCCCCCCCCCCCAACACCAGAGCTTCTGACCCTGGGACCATAAGTTTGCTCATCATAACTAATCACTTTGTTTATCTGCTTAACACCAAGGAGCAAACAGGATTATTTAATAGAATTAATGCATTTTTACTATATTATCAAGAGCCCCACCCTCACACCAGCACATCTGACCCAGGGGTCATGAAATTCACTACTCTGGAAGAAGCACTCTTGCTCATCATAACAATACACTTAGCTTCATTGCTTTTTTAACCAGAAGCAGAAAGGAATATTTTCAAATAAATTTTGCTTTTTCACTTTATAATCAATAGAAGCCCCCCCCCCCCCCCTCACCAGAACCCTTAAATCTGGGGTCATAAAATTCACAATTTTGGAAGAGGCATCCTTGCCTATCATAACAATGTACTTGGTTTGTTTAAACAATACCCAGGGGCAGAGAAGAAGATTTTCAAAGAAATAATTCACCTTCACTACAGGATCTATATAGCCCCGCCCTAGCACCAGAACTCCTGTCCCCGGGGCCATGAATTTCACAATTTTGGAAGAGGCATCATTGCTTATCATAACAATGTACTTAGTTTGTTTGAATAATACCCAGGGGCAGAGAAAAAGATTTTTAAAGAATCAAAACATTTTCACATTAAATCAATAGAGCCCCGCTCTAACAAGAGAACCCCTGATCCAGGAGCCACGAATTTCACAATTTTGGAAGAGGCATCATTGCTTATCAAAACTATGTATTTAATTTGTTTCAATAATACCCAGGAGCAGAGAAGTAGATTTTCAAAGAATTAAGGCATTTTTACTATATAATCAATAGAGCCTTACCCTAACACCAGAACCCCTGCCCCTGGGGCCATGAAATTCATAATTTTGAAAGAGGCACTCTTGCTCATCCTAACTATGTACTTAGTTACTTTATTTAATACCCAGGAGCAGAGAAGAAGATTTTCAAAGAATTAATGCATTTTCACTATATAATCAATAGAGCCCCGCCCTAACACCAGAACCCCTGCCCCTGGGGCCATGAAATTCATAATTTTGAAAGAGGCACTCTTGCTCATCCTAACTATGTACTTAGTTACTTTATTTAATACCCAGGAGCAGAGAAGAAGATTTTCAAAGAATTAATGCATTTTCACTATATAATCAATAGAGCCCCGCCCTAACACCAGAACCCCTGCCCCTGGGGCCATGAAATTCATAATTTTGAAAGAGGCACTCTTGCTCATCCTAACTATGTACTTAGTTACTTTATTTAATACCCAGGAGCAGAGAAGAAGATTTTCAAAGAATTAATGCATTTTCACTATATAATCAATAGAGCCCCGCCCTAACACCAGAACCCCTGCCCCTGGGGCCATGAAATTCATAATTTTGAAAGAGGCACTCTTGCTCATCCTAACTATGTACTTAGTTTCTTTATTTAATGCCCAGGAGCAGAGAAGAAAATTTTCAAAGAATTAATGCATTTTCACTATATAATCAATAGAGCCCCGCCCTAACACCAGAACCCCTGACCCTGGGGCCATGAAATTCACAATTTTGGAAGAGGCACTTTTGCTTATCATAACTATGTACTTAGTTACTTATTTAATACCCAGGAGCAGAGAAGAAGATTTTCAAAGAACTAATGCATTTTCACTATATAATCAATAGAGCCCCGCCCTAACACCAGAACCCCTGCCCCTGGGGCCATGAAATTCACAATTTTGAAAGAGGCACTCTTGCTCATCATAACTATGTACTTAGTTACTGTATTTAATACCCAGGGGCAGAGAAGAAGATTTTCAAAGAACTAATGCATTTTCACTATATAATCAATAGAGCCCCGCCCTAACACCAGAACCCCTAACCCTGGAGCCATGAATTTCACAATTTTGGAAGAGGCACTCTTACTCATCATAACTATATACTTAGTTAGTTTATTTAATACCCAGGAGCAGAGAAGAAGATTTTCAAAGAAATAATGCACTTTCACTATATAATCTATATAATCCCTCCCTAGCACCAGAACCCCTGACCCTGGGGCCATGAATTTCATAATTTTGGTAGAGGGGTCAATGCTTATTACAATCATGCCAACAGTTTGACTGCTTGATGTCCAGGAGTAAAGAAGAAGATTTTTAAAGATTGCATTAATTTTGGTGGTTTTAGCGCCACCCCTCAGGTCCCAGGGGGGAGGCAGGGATCATGAAATTCACCATTTTTGTTCCCCTTCACCCATAGATGCTATATGCCAAATTTGGTTGAAATTGGTTGAGCGGTTTCAGAGAAGAAGCTAAAAATGTTCAAATGTTAACGCACATCGCACGACGCACGCCGACGGACAAAAACGGATAGCAATAGGTCACCTGAGTGACTCAGGTGACCTAATAATTAAAATAATTAGAATATCAATTGTTATCTGTGCTTGTAAAAAAAAATGCAACCTTTTTTTCTAAAAAAAATTACCACTAATAAAATTTATAGTACATGGTATATTGCTACAGTTTTAAAATTGTTTATAAAACGAAAGATAGAACTGTATCAATTTGGAAGAGTCCATATAATGGGGAGGCACAAGGGTTCTGATTTTAGGGAGGGGGTGATGAGGGGGCACTCTACCAAAATATGCTATAGGTGAAAAACAAAACGAATTATTAAAAATCAAACAAAGTGATTTCATTCCATCAAAATCTTATTCAGATTTGGGATTAGGGTAAACTTTCAAAATCTAGTAAAACAAACGTTCAAAGGGTGATGGGGAGCTTTTCAAAATAATGGTGACAAAGTCTAATTTCATTCTGTCAATGTGCATGCGATCCTTGCGGCGAAGATACAAAATATAATCTAGCCAATTAAAAGTAGCTTTCAGCCATTCCACCTCCTCTCCCTCTCGACAATGCTGTCATTACCTGATTTTTATTTGAAAATTAAAATAAGTAAAAGACAATGCTGATCACCAGTTAACAGTGAATACCTTAAAGCACCAGAAAAGAGGCAGGAAACGAAGAGCCCGGGGATACCTGGGACGTGTCCGAGGACGTCCATCACAAACAGCGGTAGTAACTGCAGGAAAAAATAAAAACATGTCTTATATCAAATCAATTATTGTCTGTACGCTGATTGGATTTACCCCAGCATCAGGAAATTAAATGTAACAAGTGATAACAAGAGGCCCATGGGCCACAACGCTCACCTGAGTAACTTTGGCCCTGCTGTTCTTCACCAGACTATCCCCCATGTAATACACCTATTGTGGTCCCATCCTATCCCAGGGGTCATGATTTTAACAATTTAGAATCTACACTACCCCAGGATACTTCTACATTAGTTTAAGCTTTTCTGGCCCAGTGGTTCTTGAGAAGAAGATTTTTAAAGATTTTTTCTATATATTTCAATGTAAAACTTGGATTCCCTATTGTGACCCCGCCCTACCCCCGGGGGTCATGCTTTTAACAATTTATATCTACACTACCCTAGGATACTTCCACATTAGTTTCAGCTTTTCTGGCCCTATGGTTCTTGAGAAGAAGATTTTTAAAGATTGTTTCTATATATTTCAATGTAAAACTTGGATTCCCTATTGTGGCCCCGCCCTACCCCCGGGGGTCATGATTTTAACAATTTAGAATCTACACTACCCCAAGATGCTTCCACATTAGTTTCAGCTTTTCTGGCCCAGTGGTTCTTGAGAAGAAGATTTTTAAAGATTTTTTCTATATATTTCAATGTAAAACTTGGATTCCCCAATGTGGCCCCGCTCTACACTCTGGGGTCATGATTTTAACAATTTAGAATCTACACTACCCCAAGATGCTTCCACATTAGTTTCAGCTTTTCTGGCCCAGTGGTTCTTGAGAAGATTTTTAAAGATTTTTTCTATATATTTCAATGTAAAACTTGGATTCCCTATTGTGGCCCCGCCCTACCCCCGGGGGTCATGATTTTAAAAATTTAGAATCTACACTACCCCAGGATGCTTCCACATTAGTTGCAGCTTTTCTGGCCCTGTGGTTCTTGAGAAGAAGATTTTTAAAGATTTTTCCTATATTTCTATGTAAAACATAGATTCCACATTGTGGCCCCGCCCTACCCCCGGGAATCATGATTTGAACACTTTAGAATCTACACTACCCCAGGATGCTTCCATATAAGTTTCAGCTTTACTGGCCCTGTGGTTCTTGAGAAGAAGATTTTTTAATGACCCCACCCTATTTTTGTCTTCTCTTGATTATCTCCCCTTGTGAGGGGACTTGGCCCTTCATTTTAACAATTTAAATTCCCCTTCACCCAAGGATGCTTTGTACCAAGTTTGGTCAAAATTGGCCCAGTGGTTCTTGAGAAGAAGTCAAAAATGTGAAAAGTTTACAGACGGACGGACAGACAGACAGACGGACAGACAGACGGACGGACGGACGACGGACAAAATGTGATCAGAAAAGCTCACTTGATCCTTCGGCTCAGGTGAGCTAAAAAATGGAGCAGACTCTAGGTTTGTCGACTCACCTGTTAGAGAGAGAGAGAGAGAGAGAGAGAGAGAGAAAATAATTACATGTAATCACTTCGTAATAAAAACATTCTTATGATGAACTATAAACACTAGTATCAAGAAATCACGAGTTTTTCGTAACATTCCTATAGTGGCCGATCTCTTTATTTCAATGTGTTGCTGCTGCTGTTTAATTGAACTGAGTTCAGGGAACCTTCAGACAGGGAATTCAGACTTAATGACTACCACTATATATCCAGTTTTTAATATCATCATCTCCAATAAAATTGTCGACGTTCTTTGGTGCATACGTACTCTCCAAGGCCAATGTTTAGAACAAGTCCTTATATTTGTGTATTCAATACAGCAAAACTCGAATGTAATGAACACTGATATAGCGAATTCAGGACAAAACTGACTTCTTAGTTTATGTCCCGGCATTGTCCCTAGATAAACCCAATGAAAAATATAACAAAGCTAAGGCTATAACAAAGTTATTTTAACTATCCCGCTGAGGAAATATAGACAATATTTACATTTGTATTTTCATTCGTATAACATTTTTTATAACAAATTTCATAGAAAATAGTGAAAATATCTGTCACATTAAACACTGTTCATTATAAGAATTCCTAATATTCAAGCATTATACTTAGGTGCTTACGGGAAAATGTTCATTCCTTATTTTGCAACCAAAATTCTTCATTCAAGCATTTTTTTTTTACAAGATCTTTAAACGGTGAGATAATTGTAAGACATTTTTGTGTTACTGACTGAGAAATTTCAATTTCTATTTTTTTTTCAAACCCCTATAAAATTGTCACGAATTGGCAATAAACGTATAACGAATTAAGGTTATAAAAATTTCTTTTCTTTGGTCCTTTGGATTTCGCTGATGTCCTATTATTGCAAAGAGAAGCCATAGCTCCAAACAGTTCTTACATGTTTTTTCGCTTTACTCGAAAGGTCAAGTTATACATGTACCCACACTAAAGGGAATCACCATCTATGGTAGCTTTTATGTTGTAAAATTGTATTGAGGAAAGATAAGCAGGTTTTATAAAAGGGAAGTTCAAATACATATGCCCAGGGTGATTTTCTTGTAGCTGACAACGCTGCTGCAAATAAGCATAGGGATGTAAAGGGAATTTTAGAGAAAGGAACGTTTACAGACCTAAACCGTCCCCCGTATTTGCTAGATCTCAGTCATTTTGACATTTTCTTATTCCAAAAACTCAAGAAAATCATCAAAGGTAGACGCTACTATTTTTATCTGTCGTGGGGAGTGCTATCCATCAGTGTCTTTTGGGTTACCCCAAAAAAAGAGTATGCTGAGGGGTTCCGGTTATGGGTAAAGAGACTTGTGACGTGTAAAGGTTAACAGGGAATACTTTGAAGGATCTGATATATAAAGAAACAGATTTTTGTGCTTTTCTTATTTTTTTGATGACCTTTTGCATTTCTTATTGAACGACCACCGTACTTCACTCAACAAATTGTGAGAAAACTTTGCAGCTTTAAATACATATCATAAATGCATTGGCTCACGTTACTATTAAAATTTTATGAGGAATGTCCATCTAGCGGAAGGTTGACTATACGACACCAGCATGTAAGTGTTTGATTCTGAATGAACTATCATGTTGTAAATTTTGAATTTACTAGGGGGAGGTAAATGCAAAATTTACCACATGATAACTAGGTATCATGTTGTAAATTTTGCATTTACCTCCCCCTAGTAAATTCAAAATTTACAACATGATAGAACTCTCTTCGAACCTCGGTAACTAGCAAAGGAGCCACAATAGTTACATGCATCATTTGAACATAAAATGAGCAGGTGAGCATGGACCTATGGGACTTTTATGTTAGTATTTCATATAAAGAATTTAACGAAGCATGAATTCTGTTTTTAAAAAAGAGTTTTGGAAGAAGGTATTTGTACAAGGAAAAAATAGGGGGTGGGGTGTTAAATTTTCAGCCCTAATTGGCCCCAAGGATAAAAAATAAGAAATCCAAAACCTTAATTATTGCACATCTACAGGATACCGCCAAATATATTCTAAAAGTTGATGTGGCTACTGTGTCAAGTATCACAGCCGTGTAGAGAAACGTCGTTTTCCATAGCCGTAGGAATCCCCCCTAATTTTGCCGATATATAGAACAGTTTAGAAAACATAGCTACTATATGCTTTTGCCTCCTCAATAAAAACTTCTGATGCCCCCCCTTTTTTTTTGCTTGTCAAGGAATTTTTGGTAGTTGATGGTGCCCCCCCCCCCCCCCGAAAAATGTATGGTTGTGCCCCCTAAACTGAAATTGCTTCTTACGGGCCTTACTCCCATAATAGAAATAAAAATTCGAAAACCTTCTTACGCATTTACAAGACACCACCAATCATATTTAAAAAAATAAAATAGTTATACTTCGTAAAATGTAAGAGTTGTGGGAACCGGAAGTAATTCTTGACACACATCCCTCCCCCAGTTTTAAAATGAAAATTCCGAGACCTTACTGCACGTCTTTAAAAAGTGCGAGGGGAAAAAAGCAGGAAATGTTGAGCAAAGAACATGATGTATATTGTTGCATTTTTTACGGACACAAAAATGTTCAAGTACAGTAAAAACGCTTATAATGAATTCACTTTTACACGAAATTAAACACATTTTGTAAACTATAAAGCGGATACATGGCCGTAGGAACCAATAGATAGAATACTATCGAAAACACAGCTACTATATGCTTGTGCCCCCTTAATAATAACTCTGATGACCCTTTTTTTTTGGGGGGGGGGGGGGGCTTGTCAAGGAGTTTTTGGTAGTTGATAGTGATGAGCAGTAGATAATTAATCTTTTTCATGATTGCTGGTATCATGTAGATATGCAATAAGGTTTCGGGGTTTTCATTTTTATCCTGGGGGTCTCTGGGGATATAAAACATTTTTTTTTCTTCAAAAACTCCTCTTACCCATATCATCTTTAAAAATATGATTAGTGGACTGTAGATTTTCATACTGAAGCCAACTGGGGGTCAAAAACCAATGTTTTTTTCTAAACCTAAAAAATCCCCATATTTCCAAAACTTCACTTAAATTTTACTCAATAGCTTTATAACCTTTTGGAATAGAATTGGTGGTGTCCTGTATATGTGCATTTAGGTTTAGGAACATTCATCCCAATGGCCAAATGGGGTCGAAAAATGACGTTTTTCTACAAAAAATTAGCTCCCAAAATTCCTATTTTGGAATATGACTGTTGATGTCCTGTTATTAAGAATTTTCATCTTCATCCGGAGACCAATTAGGAGCAAATTTTTTAAAAAGAGTAAAACCTTTCTAAATTTTATTTTGAACAGAATTTATGCGTCATAAAATTCTTTAATTTAAGATTGGTAATTAGTTTATTAAATGAAAAACTGAAAGACCCATGCACCACATGCTCATCTCAGCAGTTTATGATAAATTTTTATATGTAAATTATAGAATAACTATTGCGGCTTTTTCACTAGTTTCCGAAGTACAAGGGAGAGTCAGAGTGCATTAAACACTTAAACGTGAAGATATTACAGTCTTGTGACAACTTCTACAGTAGTATTCTATGGGGGTTGGAAAATATTGTAATAATCTCCAACAGAAATGAAAAATATTTGTTCTGAATATACCACCTTCTAGTTAAAACGGGAAAACATGTCAGAAAAACTGTCGAAATTATTTTACGCATGCATTTAAGAAATAAAACCTTAACTTTATTAAAGGTTTCTGGAATTCAATAATCGAATTCAAGAATCGAGCACCATATCCTTTCTTGCCGATTCTGGATTATGAGAATCGCGGATTTCCTCGGAAACTTTTCTGGAACATTTCTGAGTTGCATCACCAATATCATTAATTCTGTATGTATTTGGACATATACGATATACATACACACTGCGGTAAATTAATATGTATTTATTAGAAATGGCAATCAAATACAGAATGGGCAATCAGTTAACCGGAAGACTTTCCTACCGATTAATCGGTTAATCATGGTGTCCTTTCTGACATATTTCATTTTATCAAATAAAATCTATTTTATTTGACAAAATGAAATATGTCAGAAAGGACAAAATTAATCTAAATTTCTTGACATGCATATTTTTTTCTCTATATATTCAAATAAACAAATAGAATAAAAAGGGGATAATAAATAAATATTATGACTATTATTGATCAGAACACTGCATATATTTTATTTCAATGGGATTTAATATATATATATATATATATATATATATATATATATATATATATATATATATATATATATATATATATATATATATATATATATATAAAATATATGGGGTATTTTTGATAACCAAAATTTAAAAGATCTTTTTATTTGTTTCGTTATTTTTTTTTAAATAAAGATAGGACTTTTCTTTCTGTAAATTACACAGTTTATGATTCAATCGCGTTAAAAAGATATAAAAAAATTTAAAACAATTACTGATTTTTTTACCGACTTCTGAAAATCTAAATTTTTCAGACTTTTCTGACTGTTACCATGGCAACCAAGACATATAGCAAGCAATTTTATTTGATACATGTTTCTGGTGCTTGGTTGTAAAGTTTAATCAAAATCGGTGACCATGCGTCGCCAAAAAAGTAATGGATACAGAGAATATTATATAGAATGTATAGGTACATATACCTTAAATTGGTAATATAGACTAAGAGCAAACAGCCAAGTTTATTTCATGTACAAAGCAGTGTCATTAACCTAGGAATATCAAGTGATCATGTGAGAGACTTACCTGGTCGGAAGCCGAGATTAATCCATAGGTCTTTGGGTCACAGGTCTCGTAGAAGGCGTAAATCACAGTACCAATCATAGCGCAGATGTACAAAATGATGCACAGTCCTGGCCAATTCAACCAATAAGCTCTACCGAAAACGAATACCTACTAATTTATTTGTATTCATATCTTTTATTATGTGTTTATTTTTGTGCTAATAAAGAGAATATGAAATGTAAGGAAGGCTTTGCTTGCAATATCTAACTTACATTTGTGCTTTCTTTAAGGTTGAACACGTGACCGCGCGTTGAATTTGAGCTTGATTGGCGCCATACACGGAAAGCCAGGTGAAGCAACCCCCAACAACACAGGTCCAAAAGCTGTGGCGGATTGCAGGGTCAGGGTCAAAACTGAAGATAAATCAATCATAATTTATACATTACGGACTCAGTTAATTTTTAAATAACTCTTTTAATATAGTTTTGACATTCAAAATCTTACTCAACAAAGTTGATGCGGCCGGATACCACGGAGCGCTCCCATGCCTTACCGAATCCACCCACCTCTATACTGCCCTGAATTAGCACCGCTAGTAGTCCTGCCATCATCATACCTACCTGAAAGGTATCGGTCCATAGCACGGCCTTCATCCCGCCCTGTGAAGCAAAATACGGAGATCCATGTCAGTTCTGATACACCATTTAGTGTATAATTGGAAAATGTGAATTCATAGATTTTACAAGAAGATCGCATCGATTTTGCATAGAGGAAAGCCCCACTCCTTCACCCCACCCCATTCTTCGTTAAAGACCATTTTATTACTGTTAATATTGAAAAAACCAGTATAGTATGGTACAAACCACATGTGCTTAAGGACAGGACCCCCTTCACAATATAGACCCTCGGGCCTTTTCGACTTTTTTTCAATGTCATCTTTTTATGACTATTTTGTGGTCTTATCCATATCATTAATCCCAAAAATTACCCAAAAGTCAAAACAAATATTTAATAAAAATTCCTATCCGATACACTCTTGTTATTTTTATGTATATGACATATTTGTTATCTACATATAAAATCAACAATGGTTGGTTTTATATGTAGAGTGAGATAGGATTTTTTTATAAAATGTTTGTTTTAGGTAATTTCTCGGACTGGTGGTATGGATTGGGACACAAAACAACGTCATAAAAATTACCTACCACAACATCTTGCTCCTACCCCCCTCTCCTTCCGGACAAACCTCATCACCTACTACCCATAATTCCTCACTGATTGTTCAAAAACTTGAGTACTGTTCAGATTTCTTCTTTCTATAAGATTTCCAATTAAATTTTATCATTGTATTAACTTCTGTCCGAATAAGTTTTATGCTTGTCGAACAGATTTGTTTTTCTACTACCCCCCCCCCCTTTTCAGTTTCCTGATCCACTTACCGTTTTGATATTAAATGTTCAGTCTGTGAAAATTTACAACATCTTTCTAAAAACTAAAATCAACACATGACCAGCTTTATTGATATGTTGTAATCCATTACTCTTCTTCCAAACCGATGAAAATAATATTAAATTAATTACATAGAACGACAATAAATAGATCTATGTGAACATTGTTCCAATATACTTACTATAGTTGTGTAGAAAATACAGACTAAGCCTACTGCCCAAATAGAACCCCATAGTGTAAAACCAGTCACTGGAAAATAAGTACAAAACCATGTATATTCTAAATGTCAAAATTATTATGTTAAAAAACATTCAGGTTTATGTCAACAGCATTAAACTTCTAAAATATCTCCCAAACTGACCTGCATTCAGAGCTAAAGATGGCGCATAAAGCACAATGGACATGTACAGAGTCTGGTGGAAAAAAAACAATTACTTCATTAGTAAAACCTTTTATGATAAACCTTATGATAAACCTTATAAACATATGGTAATTATAAATGTGTCTTATACTGTCAGATTGTGAAATTCTTCATTCGTATTAATTTATTATAATCATGGCCGAAACCAATGTATTCATTTACCTATGTATTAGTTTTCTGCCACATTTTTAAGTGAATAGTGCTACCACTATCGGGGCAACTTCCAAAAAAAATCTGACAACTTCTTAAGATTATCTTACAAGCAAAAAAAAAAGCTAATTTACTATACAGATCCTAGAATTTGCCAGTGCTCGGCTTACAACAACAAAAAGTGGGGGGAGGGGGGGGGGCAACACCAGCATCTAAAGGAAAATTTACATATAGAAAAATATTATACTCAGAAAAAAAAGTGGGGGGAGCCCCCCCCCCCCCTGCATTCTACGGGCCTGAAGATTGTATAATAAATAGTACAAGGACTTCGATTTAGTAAGAGTGGGAGGTGAGATCTGATAGGCTGTTGCACTTGCACGACCATAAACATTTCGTGCAGTGAACTCTTTCTTTCTCATCTCACTTCATGCTCGTTATGCTTGCAATTTCCGAAAAATTATGTAAAATATAAAGGGACTGTTGTTGATAACTGCTTCCGACATCAAGTAGCCGTCCTTAATTGCTTACTGGTTTCTGTGAGTGTTTTGGTAGGCTTAAAATTAATGATAATCGGACCAATACAAAAAGTTTTATTTAGCTGATCACATATCTTCCTGGTTCGTAAAACTTGATCATTTACGATAACCCCCCCCCCCCCCTTTCTCGAGACAAAAGTGGGAAATGAAAAAGAAATTCCTATTTGTCCATCTCTCTTTTCCCCACTATTCCACATCGTAGACAGGGAGAGAGAGAGAGAGAGAGAGACTAAATTTGTAACAATATCAGGTTGCTGTAAGCGTTCGTGATTAAGCAATAGTAGAGATAAAAATCCAAAGCATGCTTTCATTTCAGATGTAATCTCTGACCCAAATCTACTTAATTGAAAACATTTTTTCTTTTGTAAACAGCGTGCGTTCATTTCGAGCACTCTCTCCTAAAGTCAGTTATTCAGGAGTCCTAGCTCAGGAGCAGAAGCCTTGAGCGTGATAGAAGTGTATTTGAACTGCCTGGTCGCTGTGTAACTTGAACTAAAAATATTGAACAGCTGTGGCATTATAAACTGTTTTGTGGATGAAGGTTTTCACCTGTACACTACTCACCATTTGAGTTACATATATAATGGCACCAATCGTCCTAGAAATCTTCCCGAACCGATGTTCCAAATACTGAAATTAGAGTTTAATGATATTCATTACATAGATTGTGTGATTTCCAGTTACGTTGGCTTATTAATCGGTTGTAATTAGGTATTAAGATGGTTGTATCTTGGCATCTTTTTGGGGATGGTATATCTTTATAATATATTTCAAACCATATCTTCATGTCATGTATTATTTGCTGTGATAAATATGCAAGCGCAGATTTTACCTCATATGAACTGGTTACGCGAAGTCTGTAAAATACAGGCATATAAACATGGGCTCCTCCAAGAATAACGAAAAAATAGCCCAGGCCTATCCACCAGTAAATCGTGGTGTAGTTATACATTTCTGCAGGGGTCCCCAGGAGAGTGATAGCGGACATGAAACTTGCCAGGAGGGACAAAGCCACTGGTATTGGGTTCATGTCTCCTCCAGCAAGTAAAAAGTCCTTTGTGTTAGATTTCTGCCTGTCTTTGATGGCATAGAATAATCCAATCCCTGCAGAACAAAACAGTAATCCTGCAAAGAGAATATAATCCACAATCTGGAATTCATTCTTCTGTCCGGTCTGAAAACTGTACAATCGCTCTCCCGCCATAGTTCACCTTGTGTACTACTTAATATCTGTGTCAGCTGCGCGACTGTCCCAGCTATTTATGAATGACAAATGAACGTTACTACAACCTCTTTAGATTTATAGTGTATGTGACTCGTGTGCTCAATATTTTGAACTGTTGAAGCAGCCGCCCCAGCGACCTTCATAGACATCTGGAGTGCCGTGCACTATATACCTATTTATTTTTAGATCGAAATTCTGCGGTAAAACAGATAAATTTTAATTCCAATTTTATCGGCGCTGCATATTTTATCAGTAAGTCCGTTGAGACCCGTCTTATCTGTTTAAATAAACTTGAGGATTTTTTCGCATTGACGCAAGTGCTTTTGTAACTCGACAACATAGTGTAACATGAAGTAAACAGTGCATTTTATTTTACATCGGGCTCGATGTCCACATGAGATTGTTTATTTACTTTGGTTACATTACTTCCGATTTTGCAATCTTTATTGACGTGGAGGAAGTGACAGTTTTAAATATAGAAGCACATAGATATGTAGGTACACTGGTTATTCAAAGAAGACAAAATGGGGAATTTGGCTGGTATATTTTGCCGACGTGAACAAGTGCGGATTTTGATGTTGGGTTTGGATGCTGCCGGGAAAACCAGCATTATGTACTATCTACATCTCGGAGAAGTTGTCACCACCATTCCTACCATAGGATTTAATGTGGAGACATTGAAATTCAAGAATCTGGACTTGACAGTATGGGATGTAGGAACTCGGGATAAAATGAGGCCACTCTGGAGGCATTACTTCCAGAACACCCAGGCTCTGGTGTTTGTTGTGGACAGTGTCGATAGAGATAGAATTACAGAGGTGAAAGAGGAACTCCATAGACTTCTGTCTGAAGATGAACTGAAGGGTGTTCCTATTGCTCTTGCTCTGAATAAGAGAGATCTTCCCTACTGTATGACGAAAGAAGAGATACTGGAAAAATTAAATATTAAGAAAATCCGGAAAGATCGGCCTTGTGAAGCTTTTCTGACGACAATCAGACCAACTGACGAAGTGAAAACGGAGTTCAATGAATTAATGGAATGGGTTACCGAGGAAACAGCCAAACGACGAAATGGACTTTCATTAATAAATCCAAAAGTGGATCGATTTTCTACTTACATGTGGCAACCGATTATGAAAATGAAAAGCATGATGTTTGATTGACAGTATACATTTTTATTTCGTAAACAACTTTTGATCAGTTTGTTGTCTTGATGCAGATAATAACATTTTACAAAATACGATTATTTTTGGTCACTGACTTCACTAATACGGATGACTGGATAAAGCTGATATATAATGGGAATCACTCATATTTGAATCAATTGTGTTTTTTAAAATTGATTCTAAATCTATATTAAAAAAATGTCCTTAACATCTAGAATGTCTGTTGAGAAGTGATGCATGCTGGACAGAATTCAGACAAATTACCCAAACCTTACAAATCTTACGATTACTAGTATTCAATTGTTTACATCTACTTTTTCAAGAAAACAGGTGAAGTATTTATCATGATGCTTTTTGAAAAAAAAAAAATAGTAGCGTTTAAATTCTGTATACACTAAAACGATTAATTTGTCATTTTCTATTGTAAATTAGTATAAGACATTTACATGAATGCATTGATTTGTCTCTTTTATTAAAGACTTCTTTAAAGGTTCTTTTAATATAAAATCACCCCCTAACAAAAACTGTATAACAAAACGACTGGAGACAGCTTTGTCAATATGTTAATTCTTCATTTTGAGAAATTGCATAACTGGCTAAAATATTGGACGCTTTTATACTTTGAAAGTTGTATTAGTGTTTTCACAGGCGCTTGACGTTTTTAACCTTTCTTTCAATAAATAAAAAATCCCCCATACTATAATAATAACAAGGTTATTATTATAGTATGGGGGATTTTTTATTTATTGAAAGAAAGGTTAAAAACGTCAAGCGCCTGTGGGTGTTTTCTGGTAATTTGTGAAGCACTTGATTGAAGCAATATTAGTGCATGATTTATGCACAAAATGCATGGGTGGATTATCGGAGCTCTTAATTTAACGCTATACTTTTGTATTTTCCATTTGTTGGTTACGGTGTATTTTAAAATGTTATGTTCGATTATGTGGGAGATGGAAAGGGAGAGCCAGAGCGCTCGAACCACCGACTCCAACCTTGCCGAACGGCAGATTTTGTAAATTTTAAGAGTTTAATTTAAAAAAGTTTTCTGCAATTTCTTTAAGTCAAAATTGTACTTGAAGAAAATCAAGTCGAGAAATTTCAGTAATCAATTCATACTGTGTCCGATTGTGTTCATTAAATTTAAGCAAGTTTAAGAAAATACGGGGACTGTCTTTATATCAGTAAACGATAACAAATTTAACGGACTCCGGGTTAGAGAAAAACATAAATACTCTATACAAAGAAGACATGCGTAAGCTTATTTATAACAGACCAAATTCACAAAAATGAGTGAAAGGGAGTTTATCAATTGTCAACCATTTACAGGGTATAAAGTGTAGTTAAATTCAATTTAACATCTCTATTGTTCAATGTGTTCATTGTTCATTGTGCCATGATGCACAATTCATGTATTTATTTATCAATGACGCTATAATTGACAAGTGTTAACAGGGTTTATCTGATAAAAATAATTCACGAGTAAAAAAAAACTTTGGCTAGCAACTATAGATGATAGTTAAAGCTATATATGGCGTGTCTGAGCTAAAAAATAAAAATACAAGATCGAGTGCAGATGAACTTAATATTTGTTATTTACGTTCAAATTAAAATTTTCACCTATTTTGAGCTTGAATATTCCCACGTTTCTGTAGTTAAATTGACTTTAAACTGTATCTCATATATAAATGCGGAGTCGGTAAATAAATAGGTTATTGTTTTAAATTTCTAATATTTATGAAACGCGATTGATTTAAATTGTGTAATTTACAGGAAAGTGCTATCTTTATATAAAGTAATAAAACAAATAGAAAGATCTTTTTAACTTTAGTTAGTCTGAACTTATCAAAAATACGCCATATATGACTTTAATATTACTGTATGTGACTCGGCTTGTAAGGGTTTCTAATTCATAACTAATAAATAAACATTGTTTAACGTTGGAAAAGTTTAACGACAATAACTCGTTTTGTATCAGGATTTTTTAATATGATGCTATATTTCATAGCTCGATCGAAAACATATATACCTTACAATTTTTACTGTATTTATTAGTTTTTTTGTAAAACTGTAGCTTACTAGTGTGGATTACAGTTTACAACGTTAATTATGAAAAAAAGTATGAATAAGGTTTAACTCGAAACACCATATCCCAAAACCATATAAATTATTGTTACACTATAGTTTTATCATTTTGTAAATTTGAATTTACCGGTTGGCAGTAAATACAAAATTTACAACATGATAGTTTGCCACCAAAGGGTATAAAGACATTGATATCCGTGATATGAAGTTGTCCAACACTGGATTTATTCTAGTCATTATGACTGGAAAGAGTCTCCACCTGTATTTAAACCAGTACGTAAAAACAGCAGTTCATTAACAGTAAAATCATACATAAATATCCTACAGTGTTCACGAGGAATGTGTTACTGTAACATTAATTTTAACAAGGATGAGAAGGAAGTGTATTAATTACCTTCTTCTATTCAGTTTTCTCAGTGGCAAAAATAAACAACAAACAAATTAACATTTCTTGTATGGTACCATATTTTTTAATCTACTTTCTAGATACCTCGACCGACACAATTTTTCAATCATTAAGTTTTGTTCTCTTGTTTTCTTTTTTTTTTCCTAAGCTTTTTGGGTAATTTTCAGCTTCGTGATATTTCTATTGGTGGTTTTACAGCGTGACAAATTTTCCTTATTCATTGATCATATGCTTCCTTTTATTAAATATAAGAACTAATTTAAGTAATTTTACATCCTTAATTATGTCATGCGTTTATATGTATAATTTTCAGTGGCGGCAATACGAGCTTCATTTATTACTTTTATCTACAACTACAGAGTGATTATCTCACTCTGTTGTATTCTGATAAACTTTATTCCTGGCATTTTTCAAGTAGTTATTGCAATTCACGAGAATTGTTCAATGTGTTTTTCAATACCTCAGTATAACAGACTGCAATGAATAAAGTTCAGGTCGGGCTCGGTGTTCATACTAATATCATATAAATAATTTACATTGACAACATATTATTGGACACCTGTAATGGATGACGTGGAACTAATGCATGTAAGCTGCAAAGTGATATTGAATACATAAAATATGTCTTAATCATAATTTAGCAACAGTATGGGGAATTCATCTGCTAAGAGACATCCTGTGAGGATTATGGTGTTGGGATTGTACGACTCGGGTAAAACCAGCATTCTACACTATACTAAACTTGGAGAAGTTGTAACAACGATACCCACGATTGGCTTTAATGTTGAAACATTGATAAACAAGCGGTTGACTTTAACTGGATGGGATGTTGGGGGGCGAGATAAAATTCGGCCATTGTACAGACATTATTATTCAAACAACGACGCCCTCATTTTTGTTGTGGATAGTAGTGATGAAGATGGACTTGAAAGAGCTAAAGAGGAGTTAATGAGACATTTGTCTGAGCCCGAGTTGCAGAATATTCCACTAGCCATAGCCTTTCATAAATGGGATAAACCTAACCACATGACAATTTCAACGATACAAGATGCGTTTGGAGTGTCAGAAATCAGGAAACGTAGACCTTGTGAGACGTTCGTGACGTCAGTGATTTCTGATAATGGAATGGAACTTCAACAAATGTTATACTGGGTCTATGAGATCGTTAGAGAAAGACGGGGTTCTGTAAAAGAGACTCAATCGACAGAGGCACGATCTGTAGACTTCATGGAACGGGCTTTGGCAAAGCTCAGAACCCTGTTGCTTAATTGAGTCAGATTAAGACACTTGCTTGGAAAAAATTATTGACGCATAGGGGGACGACCAATGTATAATTCTTAGGAGGAGGGGGGGGGGGAGAGATTTTTAAAATAAATAATCTGTCCTCGACTGGCAAGAAAATGAATAATCGGTCCTTGGCTAATGCTTCAACCCCCAACCCCACCCCCAATTAAACAGAGTATGGGCGTTTTCCTTTTTAATATTTGTCCCAGTCAAACTTTTTTAAGTGAAAAAGAAAATAAATAATCTGTCCTTGAATGGCATGAAAACAAATAATCTGAATTGCCAGCCCCTCCCCTTTCAGAATCAAATGTTTGTCTCCTCGAAGAATGTGAAGGTCTGTATCATTGTTGTAAATTATAAGGTTCTTAAGATTTTTCTTGCTGTTATAACCTTTTTATTCTTAAAGACCTTCCGATTATTAATTTCATATTTTTTTTTATCATGCTTGTTCTGACATACATGTATATAAAATATTAGTTTGCAAAAATAAAGTGAAAATAAATTTTATTACAAGTTAAATGGACTTCATAAATGGAGAGACTACATACTGGGAGAGAGTGGTATATATGAAATATGGAGATAACGAACAGTAATCAAGCTCAAACGTCAATTAAAACAATACAAATCGGGAGTAGAGCAAAAAACCTCTAAAAGCATCAGAGGTGGGATCAGGTGCCATTGAGGAGTAAGCATCCCCTGTCGACCGGTCACAATCGTCGTGTGCTCCTTGTCATGGTTGGGCAAACGAAAAAATCCGCAGACTATTCAGTGTGTAAATATTGGCCTACGGGTTAGTATGAAAAACGTCAATCAGCATTCGACTTAATGATAGATTGTATTTGCTGACAATATTATTTTATCGACCGTAGAACATGGAAATGTTGACTTCAAACAAGACTGTTGATGTCCTTGTTTCATCAACTTGTTTGTCAATCGCTTGCCTTGTTTTAGAAATTTTACGTAGAGCTGCGTATCGAATCAACTGGCAGACATTAACTCAATATGCAGGTGATAAGGGTATATTGCTACATAGATAAGGGAAGCTGACGATAGAAAAGTTGAATTCATCACTTTTATGCTAAAGTTTTGTTGTAAGGTTACCATTATGCCCTTTTCTATCCTTCTTTTTGCATTTCTTTAAGCCAGCAGTGAGGACTGTAAGTGGGAAGTGACAAACACACAGACGCAAACACCAACACTAGAAGCATCGCACAACATTCAGCAGATATTGAGGGGATTCATACCTCGTACAGAGCGGCAATGTCGATGACCAGCCAAAGGACTGGCAGTTTCTTTTTGTTTTGTTGTTTGTTCAATCTGCTTATTAGATTTTCATTTCTAATTCCAAGCACCAATTGAAACAGGCAGACCGTGGCGTGTCAACATCTAACTGACTTGGGGTACACGGTTTTAGGCTAGCGAGACGGTGACAAACTTATAACACGAGACTGTTATTACCCGTATTGGTTCTTTTTTACTGGTGCAGAATTTTCAGTCTGCTTATCAGATCTTTATCTTTAGTTCTCTGAAGTGACCTCTCCAGGGCGTAGGCCTGTGCAGATTTGTATGGAAATCCTGGGTTACTCAGATGTCAGAACCTCCCTCTCAGCCTTGCTGGCATTTTATGATGAAAAGGACAAGCTGATACGGTCGGACCATCGATGCAACAGGAATTGTCGGAGGATATCACAGGGTTCGCCAAAATGCCTGCAGGGCTCCACTCTGGGGTTTTGTCAGGGGTTACTCCCATGGCTACTGTTTAATCCTGAATTCTTATTTTCGGGTTTTTCTTTTTCTTTGAGTAGTTGCCTCCTTAGGCTTGCGGTCGCTACCGACCTAGTTTGAAATCAGGGTATACTTTCTTCTAGACTAACCGGTCACGATAGCCTAGTAGTAGAGCATTCATTTCGTGATTGGGAGGCCCGAGTTTGATTCGCTTTCGCTGCGCTGCTTCAAACCTACAACGTGAATATTGGATTACTGTTCATCGCCAAGCTCCCGGCATTGGAAGCGAAAGTCACGGGTCTTTCGGATGAGACTTTAGAAACCGAGGTCAGGTGTCACGGTAGGCGTTGCTACGATAAAGAACCCTCAATGCTCAATGACCCTGTGAGGGCCGAGTTTAAGTCTAAATTTGAAGCCCTTCACCGGTTTATGGTGATGTCTCTAAATGAGTGAAGACATTCACGAATGGGACGTAAAACAATATAAAATCTGTATACTAGACGAGACTCCTTACTAGGCAACGAAGTCCAGTCTACCCCTCTGTAATTTTGCCTGGGTCTGAAAAGTACTCGGTATCCATCTGCTATCACGGGGAGGCACTACATAAGACATGTTGCGGAAATAGTCTGAGTGTAGAGAGGGATTACACGTTCTCTTGCCAAGGGCTCGAGGCATACGAATGCAGGCTTCATGGGGTTGATTTTGTGTATGGAACAACTCTTTATTTTATCAGTTAAATTTCCAACCAAGGAGACTGCACGAATTATTTCCCTACGCCTCTTCACCTCTGATTGAAAGATTGAAAATCCTCCAAGTGTTCTCTGAAGAATTAAGTTTCTAGTTTTAATTTTTCACATGTAAACATATTCAGCATATACGCCCCTACACTATGTGTTCCATACTTGTTCAAAAATGCATTTTATGAGGAACTTGATTCAAAGATTGGAGAGTTTTCTCTAAAAGGGGAATTATACATGCTTGGTGACTCTAAAGCTCCGGTGGGTTCAGAATACAGTTCCTGGTCCTATGCATTGGGCACTTTGGAATTGGCAAGCTCATTGAGAACAGGCAGCGACTACTTGAACTATTTTCCAAGCATATTATTCCATACCAAACCACATCAAAGAGTGGCATGGAGGCATCCCAGGTCAAAAGCCTGATACAAGCTGGACCTTATTATCACTAAGAGACCATTCGTCAGAAATTTGCTTTTCACATGCACCTATTACAATGCAGTCTGCAATACTGACCACTCCTTAGTCAGCAACAGAGAACACATACAACCAAAATGTAGCCCTTGATCCGAGGAGAAAGGCCGTCCATAAAACAACACTGATGGAACATCTTTGCGAGGTCTACGTGAGCAATTCACAATAGCATTAAGCGAAGCCCTTGTGAATTGCCCAAAAAGTGAGAGCAACATTCACTTGATATTACATGCAGATAAAAAGCATCCTACCGAGGAAACACTTTATGCCTCAAGAACAGCAATGTACAACGCGTCGCTCGAAAGTATCCAAATGACCACTTGTTGAACCTGTTTCGTGACATCCAAATCTCTACTATAATATCCGATCCATTTACTAGAGGATGAGGAAAGCTTTTGCTCTTTGTGCATGCAAGATTGTCCCTCTTAAATCCACATCAGGCGATATTACTGACAGGTAGAAAGATGGGCATAAAATGACCAAGAAATTTATTCCAGAGAAAGTATAGTCATCGACTCAAACATTGAGAGTGCTAGTATCATTATTCTACCAATTATGGATCTTTTGAAATACACCACCATCCACTGAAGAGCTTACAAAGACTATTGACATGCAAACCAATACTGCGGAATCTCTCCTCTCAGCATTGTTAGAAAAGTCTTTGTTCGTGTAGTATCAAGACTCCAACGATTAACGATTAATGTGGAATCAGCGCGGTCAGATCAACAATCGACAGGGTGATCTCCCTCTGGCAGCCTCAGGAAAAATGCTGTGAACAGAAACGACATTTGTACCTTGCTTTTATTGACCTGATAAAGAATTCAAACTGATCATCAGAAGGGGTTCCTCGCTTCTATACAGGATTGGTTGTCCTCCGAAGCTCTTAAGTATGATCATGTCCTTTCAAAACGGCATAACTGGCACTTTCCAATATGATGGATCAAGCTAAAATCCCTTCCAAATCATAAATGGTGTTAAGCAAGGATGTGTGCTGGCACCAACAATCTTTGGCATCTTTATTTTGTTGCTGGTGCAAAACGTCTTCAAGAATGAAGATGGCATTTTTCTCCACACTAGGAGTGATGAGGACTTCTTAAATCTGGCGTCACTCAGAGCAAAGACAAAGATATACAGAGGAGGAAGCACTGCAGTGGCATATCACCTGCTTTGCTGATGCTTGTTATGAGTTTAGGCTCATTGCCGGCCTAATGTATAAGGTAAAGATACCGAACAGTGATTGATCTAAAAAAAAATCCATAAACAATACAAATATGTGAAGAGGGCATAAAACACGGACCCCTGAAAATTCCTGAGGTGGGATCAGGTGCCAAGGAGGAGTAAGCATCCCCTGATGACTGGTCACACCCGCCGTAAGCCCTGTGTATTAATCAGGTAGACGAAACTATCCGTAGTCAATTCAGTACAAAAACAAAATCCTAACAATTGGTATGAAACAAGTCAGCCAAAATACGATCCAATGATATGTTATATTTGTTAACAAGGTCATTATAACGACTATAAAATTTACGAAATGCTTACTTTAAACGAGGCTGTTGAAATCCCTGTATCATCAACATATCAGTAAGTAACCCGTCTCGCTTCAAGATTTGATCGTACTCAGAGCAAGCTCTTGGGTAGCGATTAGGTTGGGAGACATAAACACCATAGGCAGATGCTAGTGGAATATTGCTACATAAAAAGGAAAGTTGACGATGGAAAAGCTAAAGTCATCTCGTTTGTCATACAATTTAGTTGTTAATTGGCCTTTATCGTCTATAGTCAGTGAAACATTTAAACCATCTACATATGAAAGAAATGTGGCAGACTCTGTGGTTGTTTTCAAGTTCACTGGGATACCGGGTGTATCGAGTCGACATACGAATGAGAAATAACTATTGTTAATTGATAAAACATCGTCGATATATCTGAATGTCGAATTGAAGGCCACAGCTAAAGTTTTCAGTTGGTAACAACATTGTCTTTGTTTGTAAGGCTCACTATTTGAATTGTATATTAGAGGAACTAGGATTTAATTCTACGGGCGGAAATCCAACTTACATCCATACCTCCCTTTCTAAGGAGGAAATTCTTCAAAATCATATAACCGTTTTAGATACTTTCAATATTCCCAACAATCAAATGAATTTGAATTACCATACCTTTACTGGATTCCTAAACTTCATAAAAATCCTTACAAACAAAGATACATAGCGGGTTCAAGTAAATGTTCTACCAAGCCCCTTTCTTTACTCCTCACTAAAATATTTACTGTAATGAAGGAGAAACTTCAGGAGTACTGTACAACAGTATATTCGAGTAGTGGTGTAAATCAGATGTGGATACTTAAAAACTCCAAAGAACTTTTGGAAAATTTGAAATCACAAAATTTTACTAAAATCAATAGCATCAAAACGTACGACTTTTCAACACTTTATACAACCATATTCCACGATAAATTGAAGTCCAGGCTTTTTGACATCATAGACAGCTGCTTTTTCAATAAAAATGGAAATCGTAAATATACTTACCTTGTCATTGGTCATTTACAGAATTATTTTGTTAAAAAGCACTCTGGTTGTACACACAAGTACTCTGGAGTTGACATTAAAAAGATGCTTGAGTTTCTAATTGACAATATCTATGTGGTTTTTGGAGACCAGGTCTTCCAACAATCTATTGGAATTCCCATCTGTACCAATTCCGCCCCGATATAAGCAGACCTATTTTTGTATTCATATGAAGCAGAATTTGTTCAAAATCTTTTACGTGAAAAGAAGAAAACACTTGCTGTGACCTTCAACTCGACATTTAGATATATCGACGACGTAATGTCAATTAAAAATGGTTATTTCCATTTTTATGTCGACACGATATATCCCGGTGAGCTTGAGGTAAAGATACCACAGAGTCTGACACATCTGTTTCATATTTGGATGTTTTATTAGAAAAAGACGTTAATGGTAATCTAACAACAAAGCTTTATGATAAACGTGATGACTTTAACTTTTCAATCGTCAACTTCCCTTACTTATGCAGCAATATACCCTTATCACCTGCATACGGGGTTTATATCTCTCAGTTGATTTGATACGCAAGAGCATGCTCTACGTATGAATAATTTCTAAAACGAGTTAAGTTATTGACAAACAGGTTGATGAAACAAGAATATCAACATTCTCGTTTAAATTCATCATTTCGTAAGTTCTATGGTCGATACAATGACCTTGTCAGCAAATACAATCTATCATTAAGTCAAAGTCATGACAGGGAGCACGTGGCGGGTATGACCGGTCGGCAGGGGATGCTCACTCCTCCATGGAACCTGATCCCACCTCTGAATTTTTAGAGGTCTGTGTTCCCTCTGCTCCAAAATTTGTATTGTTTTATGGACTTTTGAGCTTGAATACTGTTTGTTATCTCCATATAAGCAAAGTCATAATTATTTAGATTTAGAAAGAAACATTCTCAGATAGTGTAGATTCAAATCACAGGTACTTGTGGACAGGACCCCCCCCCCCCCCCCAACCTCCAATATGCCCCACAGGTCAAAAAATATTTTTATGTATTTTTTTCATAAATTATTCTTCTAGTACACATTTACCTAATACATGTCACCGAAATGTGTCACCCGAATTACTACGCTACTTGGTATCAATGATAACATCCTTTAAAGGGAATATTGACGACTACCCTAGCTCATCTCGAAAATCTTAAGCAGAATTTAATTCTAAAGAATCAATTTCGACTTCTTTATCAAAATTTTCCCGAACTTTTTCGTAGACCTCTGACTTTTCCCTTAGTTCTATAACACTCGGAACTCGAGAGTTACACGCTAGGTGTCGTTTTTGCATCACTTCCGTAATTTCTACTCTGACATTTCCAAATCTTGTAGCATTTTTCACGTTTGACGATGAATACTCGGATTATTATGGGATGCCTGGGCAATTAAATAGCACGATTAAAGACAAAAATATCTACCGAAACAAGATATCATGACACATTTCGGTGACATGTATTAGGTAAATGATATTTCGGGCCTGATATCCAAGAGGGGTCCAGTGTAAACAAATGGAAGTGACTTACCTTCTCTATTTTATAATACCGTGGGTATGATTTTTTAGTAAAACGTTAATTCTGCGTTATTTTTTTGATTTTTCTTATGGAATACATTGTAAATGTGTACTAGAAGAATAATTTATGAAAAAAATACATAAAAATATTTTTTTGGTTTGTGGGGCATATTGGAGGGGGGGGGGGGGGGTCCTGTCCACAAGTACCTGTGATTCAAATTTGTTCAATTCATGGCCGCTAAGGGTAAAGTGGGTGCACAATATGTGATCAAAGTTTTACAGAGGAATATGTAGGGAAAAATCTGCTGATGAGGAACAGGGCCATAGTAAATCGGGTGAGCGATATGGCCCATTGACCTCTTTAATGGTTCATGTCAAATTACAGGCCTTTCTAATGAACGTCTTTCGGTGAAAATTTGCATATACGTTTTCTCATGTGACATGCTGACCCTGTCCTACCTTCACCATAGAGGTCATGACTTAAACAACCTTCATGAAGATGCTGTTGCATTAAGAAGGCTTAAAGCAACCCTGTCGATTTTGTAGAGATTTTAGAGATCTTTCCCTGTCTACTCCTAAGTGTCACTCAATCAGTCAATGTGGCCATCTCTAATTCCGGGTGTCATTATTTGATCAAATAGGCTGCACGTGATCTAGGACGCTTGCATATCAGTATGACTAATCGTGGAACTGTAGTTTTTTAGAATATGTAAAAAGTACGTTATTTATTCCATTATAACAATTTGACCACCTATTATAGTGCCCAATAGGTCAAGACCTATACAGTAGGCTATTTTACATCTGACTCGAGGTCCATGTAAGATTGTTTATTTACTTTGGTTACGCCATGAGGGATATGTCATTTATGTAAACTATGAATGGGGAATTTGCTGGTATAATTTGCCGACGTGAAAAAGTTTTGATGTTTGGCTTTGATGCTGGCGGAAAAACTAGCATTCTTTACCATTACCATCTCGGAGAAGTTGTCACAACAATTCCTACTGTAGGATTTATTGTGAACACATTGAAATTCAAGAATCTGGACGTGACAGTATGGGATGTAGGCACTCGGGATAAAATAAGGCCGCTCCGGAGGCATTACTACCCGAACACAAATGCTTTTGTGCTTGTTGTAGACAGTGGCGACAGAGATAAAATTACAGAGGCGAAAGAGGAACTCCATAGACTTCTGCCTGGAGATGAACTGAGTGATGTTCCCATTGCTCTCGCTCTGAATAAGAGAGATCTCCCCAACTGTATGAGGAAAGAAGAGATAATGGAAAAATTGGAGATTAAGAAAATCCAAAAAGATATGCCTTGTGAAGCTTTTCTAACGACAGTCAGACCAACAGACGAGATGGAAAAGGAATTCGATAAATTAATACAATGGGTTTTCGAGGAAACAGCCAAACAACAAAATGGACCTGCATTAAGAAATCCAAAAGTAGATCGTTTTCCTGCCTACATATGGCAACCAATAATGAAAATGAAAAGCTTTATGTTCGATTGATGACAGTAGTCAAAAACATTTTCTGGAATGAATGGCCTTGCCTTGAAGATGTGCAGTAGATCATTTTATCTTGGGGGCTATTGAGGGTCGAAAAAGAACTCCTTTTACGTTTTTCCCAGTAGACAAGTCATCTTTTGGAATATGATCGGAAGTTTCCTGTAGATGTACAATAAGGTTTAGAAATATATTTCAATTGGGAGGCTAGAGGAGACCGAAAATTGACGTTTTTCTATAAAAACCATGTTGGACCAGAACTTCTTTTACATTTTAGGCAATAGCCAATTCATCTTTTGGAATATAATTGGTGGGGTCTTATAGATGTGCAATAAGGCATCAGACTTTTCTTTTCACCTGGGAGACCAATTAGATTGATTGATTGTATATTGTTTTACGTCCCATTCGAGAATTTTTCACTCATATAGAGACGTCACCATATACCGGTGAAGGGCTTCAAATTTTGACCTTTACTCGGCACTCAGGGCCATTGAGCAGTGAGGGATCTTTATCGTGCCAACGCCTGCCGTGACACGGGGCCTCGGTTTTTAAGGTCTCATCCGAAGGACCCGCAACTTTCACTTCAAAGTGCCGAGCGCATGGCGAAGGAACAGTTGCTACCTATTTTTTATCGACTTAGGGGGAGACCAATTAGAAGGCGAAAACAACGTTTTAAACCAAAATCATGTTCCCAGCAACCTCTTCATATAGATATGCAAGAAGGTTTTTGGAATTTCCATTTTCATCAGTGAGGCCAATTCGGGGCAAAAATTTAACATGTAACTATAAAAAAACTGTTGTTGTTTCTAGCTTCTCCGGTTACTCAGGTACGAAAAAGGGTACATTTATCCTCACTATTTACTGTTTTGTGACAGCATCTTGTTATTTGTTATTAATCTGTGTTTAAATAAATTTGACCCGATATTTCTATTAAAATGTCCTTAAGCTTAATAGCAAGAAAATTTTATAAAACGTGATGGAAGGAATTCAGAACATTGATCCAAATTATTCTATTGTGCAACCTTAGATTATCAATAAACCTGAGAAAATATTACGTGTTTAGTTGTCGTAGCCACTGATATTCAATTATATTACACTGTGGGACATGAAGACCGGTCCTCGGATGAGATCGTATAAACCACGCAAATCTGATGCACCAGATGCGCATTTCGACAAATGATGTTTCTTCAGTAACGTTGGAAATTCCGAAAAATTTAAATAACAAAACTTTGAAGAGCTGAAAAGGGGGGGGGGGTGCCAAAGACTGTAGCAAAATACGTCGAAGGATCAGAGCTATGCAAGAGGCAGATGAACCTTAATTTTGAAATAAATTTCTAAATTTTACCACAGCAATTAAATATATATCCGTATTTTCAAGCTAGTACCGAAGTACTTAGCTCCTGGGCTGTAGAGACCCTCGGGGACTAACAGTCCACAAGCCCTCGACCATGTGTTATCAATATGTGGAGATAACAAACAGTATTCGAGCTTAAAAGTCCATTAAACATTACAAAAGAAGAGCAGAGCAAACCTGGACCTCTAAAACATCAGAGGTGGGATCAGGTGCCATGGAGGAGTGAGCATCCCCTGCCGACCGGTCACACCCGCCGTGTGCTCCTTGTCATGATCGGGTAATAACAAAAAAAATTCGTCGACAATTCAGTGAGTAAATAATGGCCTAACAATTGGAATGAAAAAAGTCAGTCAGCATTTGACTTAATAATAGATTGTATTTGCTGACAAGGTCATTGTATCGACCATAGAACTTTCAAAATGATGACTTTAAACGAGACTGCTGATGTTCTTGTTTCATCAGCTTGTTTGTCAATAAGTTATCTCGTTTTAGAAATTGTTCATACGTAGAGCATGCTCTTGCGTATCAAATCAACTGAGAGATATAAACCCCGTATGCAGGTGATAAGGGTATATTGCTGCATAAGTAAGGGAAGCTGACGATTGAAAAGTTAAAGTCATCACGTTTATCATAAAGCTTTGTTGTTAGATTACCATTAACGTCTTTTTCTAATAAAACATCCAAATAAGAAACAGATGTGTCAGTCTCTGTGGTATCTTTACCTCAAGCTCACCGGGATATATCGTGTCGACATAAAAATGGAAATAACCATTGTTAATTGACAATGCGTCGTCGATGTATCTAAATGTCGAGTTGAAGGTCACAGCAAGTGTTTTCTTCTTTTCACGTAAAAGATTTTGAACAAATTCTGCTTCATATGAATACAAAAATAGGTCTGCTAATATCGGGGCCCAATTGGTACCCATGGGAATTCCAATAGATTGTTGGAAGACCTGGTCTCCAAAAACCACATAGATATTGTCAATCAGAAACTCGAGCATCTTTTAATGTCAACTTCAGAGTACTTGTGTGTACAATCAGATTGTTTAGCAAACCAATCAGATTTGTTAATTACACAGTAAAAATGCACTGTGATTGAATAACTTGTCATTTGTCAACATACTTCACAAGCCCCAATTGAATAATGATTGCATCGAATATACCCAGTATAGCGGGATTTTTTTTTAGCGGGGTGCTAACTATGGCTTATTTTAGCAGTGTAGCAGTAACCCGCTTAAATTTTAAAGGTGCTTAGACACAGATTTGAACTTAATATTTTCTCAAATTTTCTGTATAATATCACGACTTATATATTGCAATAGCATTTCACACGAAAATATAATTAAAAACTTATTTTATCTGGAAATTATTGGAACTACGAATTCCGGGACGCGTTTGATTAACACATCTTTGCACTTGCACAAATTTCGAATTTATCCTTAATATTTAAGAAAAGAAGCGATTTTGTTATGTATTAATGAAAAATATTACATCTATAATCCAGAAAATTCATAATAGAAATGTTTGAAAGCAAAACCAACTCACAAGTATTGTCAGTCCGTACTCTGTGATGTGTACAGAATTTAACAAATTGAACACACCCGTGAAACGTAAACTGTTTTTGTAAACAGGACACGAGCTCTGTTGTTGTTAATGTTTACGATTCACCGGGTGTGTTCAATTGTTAAACTCTGCACGCACCACTGAGCACGGACCTACAATACTGTGAGTGGGTTTTGCTTTCGAACATTTCTACTCTGAATTTTCTGGGTCATACTTTAAATATTTTTTATTAATACACAACAAAATTGCCATTTTTCTTAAGTATTAAGAATAAAATTAAAATATGTGAAAACGCAAGGATGTGTCAATCCAAAGCGTCCAGAAATTTGAAGTTTTAATAACTTCGAAATGAAATAAGATTTTTATTCCATTTTAGTATGAAATGCTATAGCAATATATAAGTCATGAAATTATACAGAAAATTTGAGAAAATATTAACTTCAAATCTGTGTCCAAGCACCTTTGATATCCCTTTTGAGTCAGGACTCCCGGGATGGGGCCACTTTAGGCGATCAAAGTTTTACATCGGAATACATAGGAAAAATCTTTATAAAATTCTTCTTCTCAAGAACAGTAATTCATGATGTCATATTTGTATGGAAGCATCCTCAGGTAGTGTAGATTAAGTTTTGTTCAAATCATGAACCCCGGGGGTAGAGTGTGGCCAATATGGGCCATTAAAATTTTACATAGGACTTCATAGGAAAAATCTTTAAAATATTTTTTTTCAAGAACGGTAAAGTCATGATCATATTTGTATGAAAGCATCCTCAGGTAAATTTAAATTCAAGTTTGTTCAAATCTTGATCCCTAGGGGTAGGGTGGGACCATGATGGGCAATCGAATTTTAAATAGGAATATATAGGAAAATATTTTCTTCTAAGATCAGCAAAGACATGTTTAGTCATATTTATATGGAAACATCCTCAGATTCAAGTTTGTTCTAATCATGACTCCTTGGGGCTGGGGGTAGGATGGGGCTACAATATATAATCTTAATTTTACATACGGATATGTAGGGGAAAAGTCTGATGAAGAACGGACGAGCCATAGTTACTCAGGTGAGCATTGTAACCTTTTGGACTCTTATTTTTTGCTTGTCAGATTTTTTTTTGTATGGAGGTTTCCCCCTCCACTTTTAAAACCGTTGCTAAGGGCCTTTATATAAGGAAGCCCATTTAGGACCTATCAAAAATATTTTTTAAATCGATGTGACGAATTGTCAAATTTGCTAAAACGACTGTGGCCCCACCCTATCCCAGGAGGCAAAAATTTGAATAATTTCCCAGCAGGCACACAACATTGAAAAAAACTTTGAATCAACGTTGATTATATATGTTGATTCAACGTTTAGTTTATATAAGATTTTGAAAATTGTGTTCAACGTTGAAATCTCAACGTTGATTCAATGTTGAAAATCAATGTTGATTAGACATTGAATAAAAGTTAATTCAACGTTGTTTTTTTTTCGGGAGGGGGGGGGGTTGGTGATTACTTATTTAAAATTTTAATTTTTTATTAACTATGATGCCTTCATAACTATATGAAGGAAAACATATATAAATCTATATTGTAAACATTTTATTAACTTCCTATCAATAGATCAGTTACAATTATAAATTTCACAAAAATACATTTTATAAATTACATGTAATCAGTACAAAACCCAAACATTTTACAAACGTTTTCTATTTTCACCCGTGGTCAAGAAATAGTCCAATACATGAAAACATTCCAAGATAAGATGTAAATCTTATACGGTAACCATTTTGATGCACCAGATGCGCATTTCGACAAATTACGTCTCTTCAGTGATGCTCATACCAAAATGTCGGAAATCCGAAATCTGATAAATATTTCTTTTAAAAAATATATTTTTAATTAAATCTTGGTGTTAGAGTCCTGAGGGTGGTGTTGGTCTTCGTGGGTGGTGTTGGACGCCTGGGGTGCTGTTGATCTCCTGATTAGTGTTCTCTCCTGGATTATGTTGGTCTTCTGAGTTGACAGAGTCTTGCAGCGTTTTAGTTGATTACCCCTACAATGTACAATTTAATATAATAAATATTTGTATAATGAAATATGTTAAAAT